GTACTTCAGTGGAAAATGCATATTCTATTGAACTTTGCTGCTGATAGGCCGATTCATACTAACAGTAAATAAAAATGTCTAACACCAAGTAGGCACAGTGCTCAGTCAGTACAGACATAAATGCATAAATGAAGTTAAAATACTGTTGTCAGGCACAGTCGGACATAACGTTAAATCTCTTTATTAAAAGTGAAAAAACGTTTAAAAATGTACGTCCAAAACAAAACGTGTTAGCTTTCGTGTTATTTAAATCTCACCGAGGTGAGTCAGACTCTGTTGCATTCAACTGTCCGACGTGTTTTCTCGTTAAGTGTTCATGCATCACCGAGGTGCTGCCGTGATACGCGAGGACCGCTTTACAAATAACGCAGGTAAACTTTTTATTCGCCGAATCCCGGCTAGAACGCTCCCAAACTTTAGATGTTTCGGTACGCGTAGCTGCGGTGTCGGACGCCGCCATTTCTGTCAAGCTTGGTTTATGCTTGACGCATTCACTTTCCGCGCGGTGATGCGGCTCGCGGCTGGAACGCGCTTCACAACTCGCAGCGTTTATGGTTCATGCGGCTCGTCTCTGCGGTGAGCCAATATTCTCCCAAACTGTAGGGGGCAGCATGGAGCTCTACGGCATGCATCCAACACTACATCATAGTAGAAGTAGAAATTACTGTTTACAACATGGCATTCCAGCATTTTTAACAGCGTTCTCGTCTTTTCCGACAGTGCGAGCAATTTCTCTCCAAGAATTATTAACAACATGTTGATCACGGTGATCTCTGAGAGCTGAATCATACAAATGTCTGTATTTACCAACCTCTGCCGTACTAGTTTTTGCCGGTCCGCCATGTTTTTCCCCGTCCGTCCGCGTGGTTAGAAATTTTCCGAGGTGCGCGTTGCGTAAATTCTGGGCCGTGCGGAGGCGCGGCGGAGGGGCGTGGTTGTTAAAATGACGCAAAAGGACGCTACTTTTCCGCGCGGAGCCGTGTGGACCTCGCGGACGCGTCAAGCATAAACCAACCTTTAGCTGGCGCTCAGCAGAGACGCTATTGTGCACGTGCGGCTCTCGGCAGAGATTGTAATCAAGTAAGACGCGTCACTCGGTCGGAAAAAACACGTCTGGCGACAACGTCGACAATGAGATTCATTGTCGGCTATTTCTATTGTCGATATTTGTCGACAACGTCAACGAATCGTTGCAGCCCTAGACCTGTTACAATAAAAGGGCTTCAACATGTGTTTAACGTGGAAGACACATTTTATGGTGATCTCCACAAATTGTTCATAGCTTGATAGAATGTTTAAACTAAAGCCGATGTAAAAACAAGACGTAATAGCCAGTAATGGATGAAAGGTGTGCAGTATGAGTTGGAGTGGTTTGTGTTGTAAGTGCGGACTGTTGTAATGTGGCTCAAGAACTAAAACTACAGTCACATGACCGTATCTGTATATTCTTATACGTTTTGTAATATTCTGTCTCCTAATGCGCAGAGCTAAGCTTTCAGGTGAGTATTAAGTGTTTGTTGGATTGAAACTGGAGAAGCCATGACATTTCAGGATCTGCATTCCTACCCCTCTAATTTGTCCCCTCGGGGAAAAACAGAACTGTGACAAGTTGATGGTGTTTTTTGAGCCGTAAGATTTAGTCATCATGAATGTTCACGTTGATATTTAAGGATTGAGCCCATTTTTCTCTTTTAAAGACAAATGAAGCCAGTAACAACTTCCTCTTATACATATTGGTTTAACTAACAGATATTTTCAATCTCTTTGATGGGATTTAGCCTCGTGAGCTAATTTCTGTCGTTTAGCTTGAGTTTGTTCCCTGGGCCTCTGAGGTTTCTTGAGCCAAAGTGAAGATGGGACTGTTCAGATGTGTGTTTGGTTCAGGGCCTTTTATTCTGTTATTAAATAATAATTTAATAATATAAATTGTCCTGTAATAATTGGGTCTACAGTATAACTTTGAACTTTAAAAAGCTTCTTAGTCCCAGAGATCGATATTATGCTTTGATTTTACAACCATGGTGCCCCCCTCACCAAGTCGGTCTTTCACACGGTGACTTGGCTTCGGTGGCCATGAGGCCTACCAGTTGAAAGACACGGATTGACGTTACAGTTTGAACTGACTGAGCATGCTCTGTGGAGACCCCTTTAAAGAGGAGAACCGACAGAGGGAGCCAACAGGTCACATGACCAGCGAGGTGAATGTGCATGCGGGGAAAAGAAAAGGAAAAGAGGAGCAAGCTGTTCGGCACATTCTGGCACTCTCTCTCCCTTTCTCTCTCGGTCCCCCCCCCCATCTCCTACCCACGCACGCTTCCTCCCTCACTCCCTCTCTGACGCCTTCTTCTTCTCAATGGAGGCCATGAAAAGAAAGCAGGTATGATGCTTCCTAGAGATGCACAAGAGAAAAGACCTGTTAGGTTCCCAGTCTTCACTCGTGGTTGGCTTTAATTGGTTTTCAGGAGGTTCACAGTCTTGTGGTTTCTCAGTTTGTGAGATGCACTTTCTGGGTTCTTGAGGCGGGTGTCTTTATTTTGTGAAACCAGTGATTCCTGTGAGGAAGAAGTGCAAATCTATCAAAGGGACATCAGTGCACGGCGTGTTGCTTCTTGTTTGTGGAGCGAGCTCATCGTGGAATAAACCAGCTGTGTTACAAACGTTTTTCTGCGTGTCTCCTCGTTTGGGAAGAGGAGTCAGATCTCTTGAAGATCTGGAGACTACAGCCCGCCTGTGGCTCGCTGCTCTCTTTGGCCTGTGTACTAATGTCACTAAGACACATGACTGTGTGAACTTCTGTTTCTGTTCATCCTTTCATCGTCTCATGCATCCACCTCCTGTCACATTTAATCAGCCTTGATTTAGAACCAACGTGGTTAAAACCTGCACATGATCTATAGAAGAACGTCGTTTCCATCCAGACCTACCGCCGGTGGGGTTCGTTTGCAGATTAGTCAGAGACTGTTGGGGTTTGAGAGTTTATATACAGCTTTACTTTTGTTTAATCTGTTCGTGCTTAAGGTGATGAAGGTAAGAAGAAGTGGAGTTGTGGAGAAATGATGACACGGCAAACTGGGATCATTCTGATCACACAGTCTGCAGCTTCAGTCGATAAACTAACGGGCTTCAGCTCATTTAGTTTCCTCTTGGTCTTTAGGACCAGTCCCTGATGTGGTCGTGTGTCCTCTCTGGTTATACGGACAGCAGTTGTTTTCTCAGGCTAACAAGCTACAAATAAAGCTAAACAGGTCAAATAAACAGAAAACACTCTAACTAGATGTTGTTGTGTGGCTGGCTCCTTGAGAACCCGTGTCTGACTGTGTTAGAGCCCACTGTAAGGCTTTTTACACCTTGTGTTCTGGTAGCTCTGACTTGTCTTCAGGTCCTTTGGAACCGATCTAAAGATAGGTCACATTAACGTGAACGCCCAGGCCTTCACATACCAGCTTCACATGATATTGTACAGACAGTGGATGATTGAGTAAAGCTTCAGGAATACGACGAGAACAACAGACGAGGGGGTGTCTGAGTGTTTCCTGAACAACCGTTGGGGTTTTGTATTTCAAGGCCCTGGCTGCAGCTTCTGCCTAGTCTAACATCTTTTTATGTTAAATGAGCCGTTTAAGACTGCTGATCATCTTTGAGAGCTTTGGCTTCACGTTTGGAGCTTTGTTCAGTAGCGTCGGTGTTCCCATCCACAGCCTTCCAGACCCCTTCAGTCCCCATCTAGTGGAAAACTGCTGCAATGGCCGTGCTGTGTCAGTAAACAGTCTGGTTGTGAAATGGCGGAGATCTGCAGACAGCTTTCTCTGCCTCCCTTCCCCCATCTCTCCCTCTGTCTTCAGCGTCAGTTCCACTTTCCACCACTAGGGGGAGAGAAGAGGCTTTGCTTTTCAACTGGCTCTCCTATCAATAACAAGAGGAAGCTGGAGGTTTCTTCCTGTGCTCTGGCTCACAGGTCAAACACCACACAGCCCACATGGTCGTTGGGACCCCAGATTTTGTCCTTGAAGAGCAGTTGTTGAGCTTGCTGATTGACGGGGTGCTTGTCTGTCTCCAGTCTCCAAAGCACATGTTCGAAGGCTGATTTTGGGAGTCTGTCCTGATGGTTGATTATGTTGGGCTCTCGGTTGCAAGCAGGACTCACGCTGTCTGGTGAGTCAGAAGACTGTAAGGAGGAACCTTAGGCCCTCTGATTGGGATAGGGTTAGGGTGCCTGCTTTGTACCTCTCTCTAGATGCGAGGCCACCCCTCATTCAGGTTGTTTCTGCACACCGGCCTTTGTTCTGCCGGTGCGGGTCCCACACACGGTTGAGGAGGGTTTTATTTGTTCCTAATTCTGGTTAAGGTGTTGTTCAGAGTCTGCTTTCCTTTGATATTGTCTTTGAAACACTGCCTCACATAGAAGGGTCTGCAACAAAGAGCCAGGCGAGCTCTCCACTTTCCTTTAGGCCTGTTTTCCCTCGGTGTGATCGAGACGATGGCGTGTTGTTGCGTTTCCTGATTTTTATCCCCCGAGAGTAAAAAACAGAAACAGATTGATGGGTGCCTGAGATCGGCGTTGAAGCTGCCTTCATGCTTTTCTGTTGCGTGCCTAGGAAGAACAAACAATGAAGTGCACAGGGTGGCCCCATTTTCTTGTCTTGCTCTGCAGTCAAGATGACATTACTGGAAAAGCACAACGTAATTGGTATTACAGAGCAAACGGCTTTTCTCCTTCCTCGTGTGTCTTGAGAGAAAACCGTGAATCTTCTTGTTTGAAAAGCTAAAATGGATTTCTGAGCACATTTATTGCTGATTAATTGAACCGGTTTCCTGTAGTATTTGTTTATTTTGCGTGTTTTTGAATGCCACAGAGTCCAGCACAACCATCATTTCTAAGCTTTAGAACAACTAATACTGATGACTTATTGAGCAAAACAACCCAAATGTATTAACTACAAATGTGATCTGTTAGCATTGTTAGCAGCAGCTGAAGCTTCTGTCACCTCCTTTCCCATCAGCCCGCTGGTTTAGCCGTGGATGAGGTTGCATCCTCAAAGGTAGAGGGACTCGACCCCCTGAGGGATGAAGAGGAGAAGTCAGGTGAGATGCATCATTTTGGAAGGTTTTTCTCTCCTGATCGGTCGATTTTAAATCCTCATTCTTGTGTTTTTTTTGACCAGATGGAGACAAAGAGCTTGCAGCCATACTGGCGTCTCCCCTAGCAGCGGAGGTGATGCTCAACGGCACAGAAGGTGACATCACCACGCACAAGAACCTGCTGACAGGCCACAATAAGACTGTACTGTTGGTGAATGAAAATGGCACATCAGACACGGAGCCCCCACATGGTTCTGTTACTGGCAGCAATGGATTCCTTCTCACCATGCCACTGCAGCAGCAGGAAGCTACAGCCTCTCTGGGTTCAGGAGCGTCCCCCCACAGGACTAACCGGTTCCCCTCGGGCTCGCCGACGGGGGAACTCATAGCCAAACCCGTCCCCGACTCGGGCTCTGTGCTGAGCTCAGGTGCTTTAAGGACTGCCCCCGTTACTGGGACTACACTGGGACAGGGGACTCCAGACACTATCAATGGCCCCGCTTCATGCCCCGTCCCAACTACGGCGCCCACCACCGTTCACCGAGCTCGAAAGACCATGTCCAGGCCGGCCGTGAGCCCGGCACAGAAGGTAGAGACACACATTTGTTTTGTTTTTGCATCTGACAAATCAGCTTTCACGAGTCGGATTACAGCCCAAGAATTCAGGAAATAATTTTAATAATCTTTAAAATACGTAACATAAAATGCAGGAAATTCCTGCAGAGGCCTCCAGTTGTGTTGGTTGATCCTTCCCAGAGCGGTGTCTCTGATGCAGCACCGTTTGCGGTGGTGCTCAGAGCTGCAGCTTCAAAGCAAGGCTGTGTTTAACGCTCCACGCCTCTCATGCTTCGCTCGGCTTGGCTGGTGACAGGAAGACTATGTAGACGGCCACGATTGGTCTTGAACGTAGCGGCGTTTGAGCTGCGTAAAGCTTCGGGAAACAAGTTGTGTTTTAAACCAGGCGTCTGCAGACTTTACGAATCAGAGCTGCTTCACATTCCTCCTAGTTTGATCTATTTGGCCCAGAAAATGAAGATGAAATGTTTGTAAAATGTTTTTGTTCTCTACATGAATGCAAACCGCGGTTCACGCGTTCAACGTCGAGCAAGAATATAAACTTTACCGCTCTTTATGGGAAAACGCCACCTTTTATGTTCCGAACTATTCCTTCTAAACCAGGCAGGCCCAACAAACTGATGCAAGGTTATCCCCCTTCTGCAAAGTCACGTTCAAGCACTTTTCAAAGACGTTACAGGCGAGGGATTGTCCGGCGCCTCACATTTTTCAAAGTTCACACTTATGCTCAAAACAGCAATTGGACATCCTTGTCTCATGACTGTCATTGTGCCAAAACTACTTCTGTAACTGTTTCAAGCACTTTCAAGGATCTCAAGCTCCTGTACGGACTCTGTGTTAGCCTAGCGGTAAAACCGTTCCCTCGCTTTCAACACATTTTAGTTAGAAACCTGAAGCCTTTAATTGTTGTATTAAAATAACAAGAAGCTGTATGTTAATGTCTGGTTAGAGAAACAAGAAACTAGTTCTCCTTAAGCTGCAGAACCTCCGTGCAGGACAATCAGGATGTTAAAATGGCTGAAACTACCATTTCCTGTTGTCGGTTTCAAGTAATAGTGAGTCTAAACCAAAGGGACATCATTCAGAGGGACTAAAGAACCTTTAAGTGGCTCCAGAGCTGCAGGTTGCAGACCCCTGGCTTAGATGCTGTTGTTACAACCATGTCGGCACCATTTATGTCTGTTTGGGAAAATCTAGAGGTGCAAAAATGAAGAAAAAAAATGTAAATAAGTGTCTGAAAAATTCTAGGAAAAAGCTAAGTTGATATTTAGCTAAAGTGCATAAGCTGAGCTTTGTTCCTGAAGAATATTTATAATTTATTGCGTCATCGTATGCAGATGGGTAGGGGTGTGCTAGCAAGATTCTGGCGATACAGTCGGTGTTTCTCAATGCCAAGGAACCTCACCTTGATGTCTTGGCCCCGCCCCAGTCGCCTAGGAGATACGTCATCAGGAGCCACCAAGACGTGTTCCAATGTTCCTGTTCTACCGAGGCTCCGTCCCGCAGCGCTCCTCTGTGAGGGCGGGGGTGGGGGGGCTGCACACGTTCCGCTCCTGTTTCCCACCAGCATCAGCTGATGGAGGGCTCTAGTTTCGTGTCAGCGTACACGGTAGGGTCGGGGAGGGGGGCCGGGCGGGGCGTGACGCTTAGCCGGGCGGGTGGCCAGGCTTGTAAAGCGCTGGGGGAAACCCTGACACAAATAAGGTTTTTTTTACCTGATAATATCCATCTTAGTCATAGTTTTAAATGTTTTGATTGAATGATGTCATTTCCTATCATGTTTGTAAGTGTTACTGCCCTTTGTGAATGTTGTGATGAAGCTTGGTTTGAAGAAAATCATGAATCAAATCAAAACTGCACTTTCTGTCTGATATTTCCCTCAAATTGTTCAGCTTTAGCTACAAATAACTCCGAGAGTTCAGACTCAAATGTTTGTGTCAACGATTCGTGACGTTTTCTGGTTAGTTGTAGTTCCGGCTCATGTGAGCGCTGCACCAGTGTTGGCTCCGCTAAATCATCTCATCGGTAAGAGCGTGGGATGACTTTCATCCCTACCAACAGTGATCTGTCACAGAGCCAGCTAGCGTTGGACTGCCAAACCCAAACTAGTAAAACGTGCTAACTCTTCAGCCGTAACAATTACAAACGATCGTTTTTCGAATCTTAAAACCAACGGGTTCATTTAATAATGTGACAAATTGAAGATCTTAAGGTATGAAATGCATTATCATCCCTCCAGCTTCTGAACAAGGAGTTACGGCAAGCGAAGAGTGCCAAACTGGAGTCTCAAGTTGAGTTGGATGTGCAGGAATCTTCTCAGCTGTTGCCTGTTCAGAACCATCTACCTCAGAGTCCACCAGACGGGCCCGCTTCAGCACAGACGGTGTCACCAGCAGCTTCTACAGAACCAGGAGCTCCCTCACCTTCTCCACATCCTACTAAGATCCAGCTAGGTGAGACACAAGCGCCAGACGGGGCTGCTAGGATTCAGACGGCAGTAACAATATCTGGTGATGGTTTTTTTCACATCCTCGTGTCCCGCAGGACCGTATTCAGCAGGTTTCTCATCTCGGAAGAAGAAGAGGAGGATGGGAACGTACAGCCTGGTTCCTAAGAAGAAAACCAAAGTGCTCAAGCAGAGAACTGTACTGGAGATGTTTAAGGAACTACAGCAGCAGTCCAAGAGCCCACAGGTTCTGGATGTCCACTTCGTAACACCCCACCCCCAACACACACGCACCAACACTCCCAGTTACAGAACTGGTAAAAAGCACCAAAAGACGTTTCAAATTTAGTGATAAGTTCAATATTCAAGCAAAACTTTAACTCTGAATCCACCAGAACGTTTTTACACGTTAGAGCAAAAATGTTGAAATCAAACCCGGAAGATTGGAAATCTCGACATTTTAACCCCCAAAGACCCACGGTTGTAATATTACAACATCAGATTTAAGTCTACAAAAATAAACCTTCCCCATTTTTTTTCTTTTTAAAACCACATTTACATTGCTAATAGGTCCTATTGTTCAGTTCTGCAACACTATTGGCTGTTAAAATGTGTAAATTGGCCCGTTTATCTGGCCTCCTAGAACAACATGTGAAAGGTTAAAAAAAGATTTTGCAGTTGTTTTCTAAATTTGGGTCTCTGGGGGTTAACACCTGAAAATAGGAGCACCAGTGAGCAAGCCGTCCCCGAAGTCGGACATCAGAACGACAAACATTACACGACCTTCTGCTGGTTTCTCTGTTCCAGTCAGCCATTTTCCAGCAAATTTAACACACTTGTGGGCGGGGAAGCTCGGGGGTTCTCCCTGTAATCGGTGGGTTGCAGGTTCGAACCCAGGCTGCTGCTGTCGGGTAAGACGTTTCACCCTCCTTGCCTGGTGGTGGTGGTCGGAGGGCCCGGTGGCTCCGGGGAATGTCGGTCTCTGCTGTGTGTGCCCCAGGGCAGCTGTGGCTATGACGCAGCTCATTGCCACCATCAGTGAGGGGATGAATGATGCATTGTAGTGTAAAGCGCTTTGGAGTCCTCTGAAAGACGCTGCACAAGTGTGGGTCAGTTGTCGTTTTATCATTGTCCATTTTCTATCAGAAGCTACTGCAGGAGATGGGTGTAGGAGACTATTTCTATGTTGAGTCCTCATGAAACGCTCAGAGTGACCCATTATAATCAGAAATAATCATTATGAATGGTTCCACACCTTTAACGCGACACCGACCCAAATTTCTCCAGATTTATGAAAACGGCACGCCAGAGCACCTTTTCAAAGCTTTATTTTAAGTTTTATTTTGAAAAGCGTGACCGGGCATCTTATCCGAGATTGGTTTGTTTTGAAAACGAACTTGTTGCCTTTCAGATAAAAGAGATGGTGAACATCAACGGGGAGAAGGTGGGGAATGCATCTGAGGAGGAAGAGTGGGAGGATGTGGAGTCGTCGGAGGAGGAGCGGCAGCGACGAGTCACAGAACCTGCCACTGCTCTCCAGGAGACCTCTGGATCCACGGATCAGGTGGGAGAGGAAAACTGGTTTCTGCGCTTCCCCTGCAGGGAGGAGTTTCAGTTTACTCAGGAACTTTTCTGGACTTTCTACAAGAATAAATCTGTTTTTGGGTTCATCTGCATGTAAAGTGCTTTGGTTCTTTTTTCCTGGTTGAGGCGAAAGATGAGCAGGAGTCCTACGATTCTGAGGAGGATGAGGGAGAGGAGGAGGGAACGGAGTCGGACTTGGTAAGGCCTCTGATTGATTGATCTGGTCCGCTGTTGGAATTGTTGTCACTGGAGTAACCGAAGCCACATGTCTGCCTCAGAGCTCCGAGTCCAGTCTGAAGAAGAAGCTGAAGAATAAAACAAAAGCCGACAGCGCGTGGCTCAGACCCCCCAGGAAGAGGAAAAGGAGAACGATCCACAAAGGTTGTCAAACTGCACCGGCTCAGAACTGGATTACAGATGTGCTCGTGGATCATTTTTCCTTACAGTTTCATTGTGATTTTGTTCAGAATCGGAGCCGGATGTCCAGCCTCACACTTCAGCACCTGCTGATGAGGAGCCACACACACAGGTGCTCCCGCTGGAGTCCGTCAGCATCGACAGGACGTCACAAAGTAAAGGTGAGATAGTACACCACGGCTCAGTCTGAGGAGTCGGCATCCAGCCCGTTTCATCTGAAACTGGAGTCAAAAGCTTCATTTCAAGTCACAAGAAAATTTAATTGTGTATAAACTAGGGATGAGCCGGATCCTCGTCTCAGACTAGTACCCGGTACGGATAAAGCGTTTTTGACGAGTACGAGCATGAAACGAGTAAAACTCGTAAATATCTGTAATCGTGCCGAAGGAAAATCCTCATTGGGTAACTGACTGTCTTCACGCTCTGTGATTGGCCAGTCACACAGAGCGCCCGCCCCTCCCTACACACAAAACTGCAGCCGGGAGCTCAGTCAGCGTCTGGCACGCACACACACACACACACACACACACACACACACACGCACGCACGCACACACACACACACACACAGTAACGGATCTCTCTGTGCTTGCTTCACTGTTGCTCACGCTTCTTCAGTTCTCCCTAGGTTTTCTTCAGCTCGCCTCTTTTTCGGTTGAATATTTAAAGTTACTGTTTTTGTAACGTACGTGGTGCGTTTGACAAGACGGAGCTGAGAACGGCAAATTTGAAGGCAGGAAAAAACCCTGATTAATATCGCCGCTAGTTCTGTTTTTACCCAGGTCTGTTTAGTTTTGATGCCGACGCGTTTTATGTTTTTGTCCAGTTGGACTTTGTGTTCCAAGCATCTTGTAAGATTAGTTAAAGAAAACGGCTTTTCACTTTTTCTGTAGACTAGTACAGCGTTGACCATTACAGATTAGGGGTTGTATCAACTAGTCGACTAGTCGACCTCAATGCTCTGTAGTGACTTTTTATGCCTGTCATCGACTAGTCGCTGTCACGTGATAATGACAAGATGCAGTCCTCGGAAAAGACAGCAGGTGACGAGCCCCTGCCCGTCTGGATCAAGGCTGAGGCGACGCGCTGTGCCAGAGCGTCGGTACCGACACCCGCCGTAAAACGGACATTAAACCAAATTGTGACCTTTACCCTCTTGCAATTTAACCTTCCCCTCAGCCCCATCCTAACCTTAACCAGCTTGTGCATGCAAAGCTCTGATTGTTGATGCGCTCCAGACATCTGCGTCCTGAGCACGGCCACAGTAACATTATCAAATCAGGTGTCGCCACCTCAAAAACTAATTTAACACGCGATCGTTCATGTCGGCTCATTTCCTTTTATGTTTTCTGTCTTTTATTCTTTTATTTGTGCCTGATGCGTTTCGCTGCTGTGGATCGGGGCGCATCACCTGTTTTGTCCTCCGGTGACGCACCTCACTGATGCGACCGGCGAGCACTCCGCTGTTTTAGCGGTCGGTAGATCTTTTAGAACTGCAGTTCAAAGGTAACTCATAAGGTGAATATATATGAACCCAGGTAGCAGTTTCTCTTTAGGATTGAGAGGAGATGCAGGAAGATAATAAACAGACAGGACAGAAAAATAGTCAAATAAAAACAAGTTAGTTTTCATACCTGCTGGTTGCAACAAACAGACACCACTGAAGGGAATCAGAAGTGAGGAACAGAAAATGAAATAATTATTTTAATGTTTAGAGCAGCAGGAACTCCGAGAGGCTGCAGGCGCATCAGTGAGTTTGCAGCCGCTGCGCAGGGGGAGGGGGGAGAGGACTGAAGCAGGGGGAGGGGGGAGAGGGCTGAAGCAGGGGGAGGGGGGAGAGGGCTGAAGCAGGAGGAGGGGGGAGAGGGCTGAAGCAGGGGGAGGGGGGAGAGGACTGAAGCAGGGGGAGGGGGGAGAGGGCTGAAGCAGGGGGAGGGGGGAGAGGGCTGAAGCAGGGGGAGGGGGGAGAGGGCTGAAGCAGAAACTACCGTTGTTAAAAGAAATGTGTTTAACTTTGAAAATGTGGGCGCAATTTTAATTGTCAAAAACTCCAGCGAACCTACCGACCCCCCCCCCCATGCCGCTTCAGGTGTGTGACGTCATCAACGACTAGTCGAAGTCGGCTCGATTTTCATTACTTGACTGTCGACTCTAAAAAGGACTGAAGTCATGCAGCCGCTACTACAGATGACCTCCGATGTCAGCAGGGCTGGAGATCCAGCCTGGATGTGTTAAACTAAACTAACATTTTCCAACTCGGACGATTATTTTGTTTATTGAATCAGATCCTGACTGGGATCCAGTCACGTTCATGAGGTGAATTTTGATTATTGTTTTCCCAGACTCTTCTGTGTCAGCCATGGAGGATTCTCAGGAGCTTCCGCTATGCAGCTGTCGTATGGAGACCCCAAAGAGTCGAGAGATCCTCATCCTAGCAGACAGGAAGTGCATGGCCACAGAGAGCGTGGACGGACAGCTGACTCGCTGCCAGAGCGCTGTCCTGAAGCATGAAATGATGCGTCCCTCCAACTCCGTTCAGCTGCTGGTTTTGTGTGAGGACCACCGCAGCGGCATGGTGAAGCACCAGTGCTGCCCTGGCTGTGGCTTCTTCTGCAGAGCGGTGAGTAGCCGGTCTTAAACCCACGAATCACTTCAGGCAGGATCTTTTTGGTGCGTTCTTCAAATTTGTTGTTGGGTTTCTGAAACTCTGTGTCGTCACGCGTCCAGGGGACGTTCATGGAGTGCCAACCAGACTTCAGCATCTCCCACCGCTTCCATCGGGCCTGTGCCTCGATGCTAAAAGGTCAAAGCTTCTGTCCTCACTGTGGAGATGAGGCCAGCAAGGCCAAGGAGGTCACTATCGCCAAGGCTGACACCACCTCCACAGTTCCTGTGGCAGCAGCAGCTCACGGGCCTGCCACGCTCGGGGCTCCTGAGGGCAGAGCAGACACCACCACTGGAAGGTAAACACATCACCGACTCTTTGACCCAAACTTCAGGAGGGAGCTAATGTGTGAAATACACTCACTGGCCACTTTATTGGGTATACCTTGCTAGTACCGGGTCGGACCACCTTTTGCCTTCAGAGCTGCCTTAGTCCTTCGTGGCAAAGATTCAACACGATTCTGGAGACATTCCTCAGAGACGTTGGTCCACGTTGACATGACAGCATCACGCAGCTGCTGCAGATTTGTCGGCTGCACATCCATGATGAGACTCTCCCGCTTCACCACGTCCCAAAGCTGCTGTGTTGGACTGAGATCTGGTGGCTGTGGAGGCCGTCTGAGTACAGTGAGCTCGTGGTTCAAGAAGCCAGTCTGAGATGACTGGAGCTTTATGACCTGGTGCCTTATCCTGCTGCAGTAGCATCAGAAGATGGGTGCACTGTGCTCATAAAGGGATGGACATGGTCAGCAACAAAACTCAGGCGTTGCCACGGTGATGAGTTAGCACTAAGGGGCCCAAAGTGTGTGAAGAAAATGTCCCCCACACCATTACACCACCGCCGCCAGCCTGAAACGTTGATGCAAGGCAGGATGGATCCATGCTTTCATGTTGTTGATGCCAAATTCTGACCCTACCATCCAAGTGTCGCAGCAGAAATGGAGAGCCATCAGAGCAGACAGCATGTGTCCATGTTTGGTGAGTGTGTGAATTGTAGCCTCGGCTTCCTGTTCTTGGCTGACAGGAGTGGCACCTGGTGTGGTCTTCTGCTGCTGTAGCCCATCCGCCTCAAGGTTCCACGTGTTGTGGGCTCAGAGACGCTCTTCTGCATACTTTGGTTGTAACGAGCGGTCATTTGAGTTACTGTTGCCTTTCCATCAGCTCGAACCAGTCTGGTCCTCTGACCTCTGGCATCAGCAAGGCATCTTCACCTACAGGACTGCTTTTTCAGACCATTCTCTGTAAATCCTAGAGATGGTTGTGTGTGACAATCCCAGAAGATCAGCAGGTTCTGAAATACTCAGACCAGCCCTTCTGGCACCAACAACCATGCCACGTTCAACGTCACTTATGGCCCTGGCACACAAGCATCGGCTCCACTACGCCTGGACCGGGTTGGGAGTGTTCTCATTTAGGTACCCTTGGATATTCCCGCGCGCAACTGGATGTCTTTTCAGCCACTTTTCCTGTGGCGGTCTACTTGGAGCCACACAGGGCCGACACACCAACTGCCGGCTGATTGGCCGTCTCAAAATCAGGCGTACCATTAGGGGAAGCCTCCGATTAGTGGAGTCCGAATCTCCAGAAGCAGCACTGCTCAAGCCGCTTTTGTTTATTAACGGAGACACTGCAGACTTCTCCGCGCTCTTTTGCCCCGCCCACGAACTCGGAGATGCGCTCATGATGTCACAGGCCACAGACTGCCCATGTGCTCAATCACGCCCGCATTCCTAAGGCAGTGTGGAACGAACGCGGCCAGGCTGGGCGAGCGGAGTGGAGCCGGTGCTAGTGTGTACGTGGTAACAAATCAACTTTCTTCCTCATTCTGAAGCTCGGTTTGAACTGCAGCGGATCGTCTTGACCATGTCGACGTGCCTAAATGCATTGAGTTGCCTCCATGTGACTGGCTGATTGTTATTTGCGTTAACGAGCAGTTGGACAGGTGTACCCAATAAAGTGGCCTGTGTATTACACGTTATTCTGGGGGGAAAATCATTTGCATTTGGTTACTTTTTGTTTTGCACGAGGAACTGCTCAAACGTCACATCGTTCACCCACGTGCTCTGTATGCAACGTGTGCCAATAAAGTTTTTCAATTTTGAATCTTGATTTGTTTTCCAGCTCTTCGTATTTAGCTCCTGTGGCTGAAGTGAGTGGCAGAGCCGACAGCTCACTTCCCATCCCTTCATCCGGACTCGACGCCTCAGCTGTTCCTGGCTCATTCAGGAACGCCGCTCTCCAGGCTGTGATGGGAACACCAGCCCCTCCCACACTCCTCCCAGGAACGCCGAGAGAAACTCTGGAGAGCATCCTGGTTGCTCTCGACACAGAGAAGTAAGCTGGAGGGGCTCTTTCTTTATTTACCCGAGTTCTAATGGAGAATACATTCCTTTTTTCTTTTTTCTTCTATTAGACCCAAGAAACTCCGTTTCCACCCAAAGCAGCTTTACCTGTCGGCCAAGTCGGGAGAACTGAAGAGAGTGGTTCATATGTTAGGTGAGTTAAACCTGACTGGATCTTTTCCTGAAGCCTCTGGGTTCTGATCTGGTCTGTTTCCTTAGAGCCTCGCCAATTTTCAGATTTAACACTCAACTTAGGCTGCTGCCCCCGCGACCCAACTCCGGATAAGCGGAAGAAAACTGATGGATGGATGAAAAACTGAATAAGAAACAAAGATGAGCTCATTCAGTCATTTTCTGATCAGAAAGCCCCTGACTGCCAGTGCTTTGAGCATTTTGACCGTTTTTTGAAGCATCACAGAACATTGTGCTTTATGCCCATGTAAACACCAAAACTACCAAAAGAAACCGTAGACTGACTTCTTCCATCAGGAAGAGTCGATGTGTTTCCGTTCCCAGGTGTGAGCTGCAGAAGCTTTTCCGGCTCGCGCCTCGCTTTAGGCATAGTGGCGTCCCAAAACAACCTCCCAATTCATGGATTGTCTGATTCTTGATCACATGACGAGTAGGGATGGGTACCTTTGACATTTGAATCGATTCGGTACTAATTCCCGGTACCTAGGAATCGATACCGGTACTTAACGGTACCAATTTTAGATACTTTTGAGTGTTTATTATTTTAATTCTCTTTTATAATTAAATATTTATTTTTCTCAATTTATAACCATATTTGATAAATATCACGATAAATAACATACAACTAGGGCTGCAGCTATCGAATATTTTTGTAATCGAGTACTCTATCGAATCTTTTTTTCGATTAATCGAGTACTCTAATAAATTACCCTTTTGTGTTTGTAAACCTTTATATCATATATTGATGAGCCAAGATGGCGCCGAGTATGGCTGCCTCGTCGCGAGCTCCACCAAGTTCCAACATTACACGCTCCATACTGTACATTAATGCCACTGTTTTGCACATACCAACCTCTGTACATTTTATATCTCTTATCTTATTGTTTACTTTATTCATTTGTATACTTAGATTAGCCATTTTTATATTTTACTTGTTTTTACATTACTGTATTTTTGCACAACTCTATTGCTGTGAAGCTCGCACACAAGAATTTCACTCGCATGTACTGTACCAGTGTACCTGCACATGTGACGTGACAATAAAAGTGATTTGATTTTATATCAAATAGCATGTTATAATTATGAAAGACCTCTTAAAATGAGCAAGCAATTGCCAGTTATTCAAGTTTTATTCAAAATTAGTTTGCATAACTTCAGCACTTCAACTTTACTTCACAGTAAACAAATGCCTGTGCAAAAAATAAGTAAACCTGAGCCGATTTTCCCCTCGTGCGAGAATCTGCTAGCCTGCAAGCCAGACAAAAACTAGGAGAACGCTGCGAGCGGCTGCGGCCCAAACAGAACCAGAACCGCTCACGGCGCAAACAGCTCGCTGGCTGTTTCCCTATTAACACACGTCCGTTTTAATTTCCACACTTTTTTTCTCACACTAACAAGGATTGCCAAAAGCATGTTTGCTGTGGTTTTGTCAAATTATACTGATCACAAAACATGTATTTACTTTCTTTCGTTTTCCTCCGCCACTCATAAATACCCGTGTCCTCATGCAGAAACCCCGAGGGACAACAGACATCAATAACGCAATAAAAAGTCCGACATATTGTGTAAAAACTGCTATTTTTAGCACATTTTAAGTCCGACGTGTTGCTACCAGATGTACGGTGTGAGCTGAAACTGAGCGCTACAAACGAAAAAGTCGCAGAGTCCGCAGAATATATAGAAAAACAGGCTAAAATGCATTATCTTGTAGAGGCTCCGAGTCCGCTTGCAGAAGTGACATTTACAGGTGCTGCAGCACGGAGGATGTGGTGTTGTGCTAGGCTAAATCCATTTTTACAGTATTTATACTGGACTACGTTTTCCACCTTACGACGTGAAAAATGGTTCCACAACTTTGACATTTTCTGTCTTTTTCGCACTCCACCGGGGTTCAAGTTGTCCGCCATGGCTTAAGAGAAAGTTAAGTTATATTCGCCACTCGCGTGTGCATTCAGTCCAGTGGGCATGTGCGTCACTTATTTCGGTCCGGGTGAAACATGACCCCGGGCGATTGCAAAGCCATGAATTAATTAAATATGAATTAAACGAATCCTCGAGGCAGAGAATTTGACTCGAGGATTTTTTGTACTCGAATTATTCGAGGTACTCGAGGAATCGTTTCAGCTCTACATACAACTGTTTGTATTTTAACATCGTCCTTGTAGTTTTATAAGCTGATAATTAAACTGAAGCAAACATCTTTACTGTGAACTAAATTTACTGTGTATCTTCATTCCTTTTGCCGTCTTTTTTCTTTGATTTTTTTCTACTGGGAAGTTAGAATTTCCGAGGAGAAAGCGAACGCACCATTAGCTGATAACAGCGGTGGCAATGGAAGCTAATATATCAAGCTAACGTTATCTTAAACAGTTTATTTAGCTGCTGGAGCAGATTAAAACGATGATGCCTCACACTTAGATCGTTGTCACTGATTTCATCTTCACCCAATCACCCGTCGCATTGAGTAAAGTGAAGCCAAACTTTAGAGCGCCTTCATGTTCTTCTAGTCGGAAATTCGGAGTTCCGAGGAGAAAGCGAACGCACCATTAGCGGAATGGAAGCTAACATATCAAGCTAACGTTATCTTAAACATTTTATTTACCTACCGGAGCAGATTAAGATGAGGATCTCACTTAGATCGTTGTTGCTGGTTTCATCATCACCCAGTTACCCATCACATTTAGTGAAGTGGACCCAAGCTTTAGCGTGCATTCTTTCTACCATGCTGCTCTGTTTACAACTTGCTCGCAGCGACCGATGACATAACGCTCTTGCACATGCACAGCTGTCTTGGCAAGTTCTCGTTATGAAGGACGGGTACCGAAACGAGGCACCGTTTGAAATGACGTGAATCGGTGTTCAGTCGGTACTATGGAATTCGGTCGGTACCTTAAAAAGTACCGAATTCGGTACCCATCCCTAATGACGAGTGACACACACAGGTGAAAATCAACTTTAGAGCCGTGATGTTTACTCTCAAGGTGCGCGAGGTTGTTCTCAGGCCCACCCCGTTAAAAAACGCAATTGACGATGTTAGATGGCAACTGGACTTTGGTTTCTTGAAGATGTTGACGACGCTCCTGAGATGTGAAGCGAAACGTCTTCAAGAAACATAGAAGTCCAGTTGCCTTCATTAGAAAACTTTGGATTACTATTAATTAGAGCCAATTTGAATAAAATATGGCTTGCTTGGAATCAAATCACAAAGAAACGAGGTGCTTTAAGATTTATATTTACCTTCCAGTTGATGGTATTGACCCAAACTTCAAAATGGAGTCCCAGAGCAAGCGTACGCCGCTGCATGCGGCAGCAGAAGGAGGTTACATCGACATCTGTCACATGTTGGTTCAGGTAAAGGTCAGATATGTGATCTGAGCTGGGTTCGGGTTGTGACTCTGTAACAGGAAGAGTTTGTGTGTCTGATCAGGCCGGAGCAAACTTAGACATTTGCGATGAAGACCAGCGGACTCCTCTGATGGAGGCGTGTGAGAACAACCACATGGAGGTGGCTCTTTACCTGCTCAGAGCTGGAGCCAGCGCCACACACAAGGTAAAACAAAATGCCTGGATCTCAGAAGTCACACATGATGGAATCACTCAAACACGATCAAACCTCTCTTTAGGACGTTGAAGGGTTCACGTGTCTCCACCTAGCGGCCAAGTCTGGTCATTACAAGGTTGTGGAGCACCTTCTAACCACGGGACTGATCGACATCAACTGTCAGGTTGGTATCAGACTGAACCAAAACCAGCCTGAAGCAGCGTAGAATGAATGAAGCTCAGATGCCTTCAAATGGAAACTTTTTGACTATTTGTTAAAAATAAAAATCTGAATGATTTCTATCCTGAATGTAGATTGCTTCCTGAACAGCCTCTCTCGGTAAATGGTAAATGGCCTGTATTTGATATAGCGCCTTCTAGAGTCCTGGAACCCCCCAAGGCGCTTTACAACACAATCAGTCATTCACCCATTCACACACACACACTCACACACTGGTGGTGATGAGCTACGATGTAGCCACAGCTGCCCTGGGGCGCACTGACAGAGGCGCCACCGGTCCCTCCAACCACCACCAGCAGGCCAGGTGGGTTAAGTGTCTTGCCCAAGGACACAGCGACAGACTGAGCGGGGCTCGAACCTGCAACCTTCCGATTACGGGGCGAGCTCTTAACTCCTGTGCCACCGTCGCCTATTCAGAGAAATAGTTTACATCCTCCATGGCTGATGAGCTAACTACTAGTCTGATTGGCAGGAGTTAATTTAAATCCACTTAAAGCACAAAAAGATGCAAAAATATTACTAGAATTATTTTTAGTGGCTTAACATTGTGAGGTTCAGTTTAAAGTTTTTGATTTGTAACGTTTACTGGGAGCCCATTTCACGCCCATCTACTTCCGGACCTCGGGTCCCCGGAAGAAGGAAAAGGCGAAGGCAAGTCAACGGGGCTAATTCTGCTTATGTGCCATGGATTTCTCATACACTCAACAAAAATATAAACACAACATCTTTGTTTCTGCTCCGATTTGTCATGAGATGGACTTAAAAATCTAAAATTCATTCCAGATACACAATATCACCATTTCTCTCAAACATTGTTCACAAATCAGTCTAAATGTGCGATAGTGAGCACTTCTGCTTTGCTGAGATAATCCATCCCACCTCACAGGTGTGCCACATCGAGATGCTGATCTGACATGAGTTGTCCACAAGTGTACCTTATACTGCCCACAATAAAAGGCCACCCTGGAATGCGCAATATTTCAACTGGAATGGGCCTGTTTCCACTGACTTGGGACACAGCTGGAGTCAAGACGGTGTTGGAACAGTCTTGCGATAACACCACCTAGCTGAATGGCACATTCCTGTAACACTCTGTCTCGGTGCCTGTCAGGGCCAGAGGCTTTATTTGGGTTGACCTTTTGCAGGACGGCAGTCACAAGGCGCCCATCAATATTTGAAGCCTCAGAGGTAAAGTCAGGAGTTACTGAGGTCCAAGTGATACTTAGGCTTTTGAATCAGGCGAAGAAGTAGTTGAATTGTTCCACAAAAGAAGCAGGATCAGAGCAGGTAACTCTTAGGTTTGGGTGCCCTGTCCATCATGATGTTTAAACCTTACCACGCTCCCTTTTTTGAGTTAGTAGATGTTTTATTAGGAGTTAGGGCTGCTCAATTAATAGAATTTTAATCCCAATTATGGTCTGAGTTTTGAACAATTATAAAAACAAAAGCCGATTATTTGCTCCTCCCACTTGCGCTGCCCTGAGTTGCAAATGAAGCGCTCCTCCCACAGTGTCACCAACTTAGCGACTTTGACGCTATTTATAACAGCTTCTCGGACCCCCTTCTTGACTTTTTAAATCTTAAAAGTACCTGGCCACCACCTCAGAAACATCTCTGGTAACCGTTAGCTACTTTCTGGATAACTGTCGTCGACATTTCCTGCAGGTTAGCTAAACACTCCGCCTGCGCTCCGGACCGTTCTTCAGGACATTAGGAAAGGGAATGATGCAGTGATGTGTCAGTCGCTAAAGAAACGGCTCTCAGAGCCGGCTCCCTGTTGGAGTAACCAGAGTGAGTGACACACACACCGAACCTGCGGGCTCCTGAGCCGCTAAAAACAGCTAAATGTGCGCGTGCGGCGTGCTAAACACACGTGCAGCTTGCCCCCGATTGCTGTGAGACCGGGTTGGGGGGGTGCAGCTGTGGTTGGGACAATTATTACATTAACTGATGGACTTGTAAATAAATAGTTTATAAATAAGGTAGAAATAAGTTCCTCACGCTGATAAATAATAACTAATGTCTGAGGACACGGTGCTAGTGCACGCTCCTACAGCACCTTGACATGACTAAATAAATGTTATGCAACATTTTGTGAACATCAATTTATTTGCATTTATTTGTTATAAATGCCACTGTATAATTCTTGCTGTCAGTTTTTGTAAGATATTGGTATTTGGGTCTGTACTGGTTAGACTTACATGAGTTAAACCAAGGTCTACAGCCCTTGGGTCATAGACTATGAGCTATAAGTATATTGGTCTTTTTATACTGGGAATCAGGAGTTGTTTTAGTGATCATCTTGTTTCTTATTGTTGTCCTGATTGTGCCCTGAGCAATTTTATGACTGAATAAAAACAAATAAAATCAACATAAATTGAAAAATCATCCTAAATAATCGAGATCTCAATTTCAGTCACCATAATAGTGATTATTATTTTTGCCATAATCAAGCAGCCCTATTAGGAGTGTAACGGTTCACGGGGAGTGTTGAATCATTTTATTCATTTTTTCCGTTTAATAATGAATTTTTATTTGCGTGATTTAAGTGCAGCGGATAAAAGTTCCTAGGCGAGTTTCTGCATGGACGCTGTACTGGGTGACCGCTGCTGCAGGCAACACCATCCTCCGAGGTGGGGGAGGTGAAGAAAGGATCGTCGATCCGTTCTGGTGGTCTTAGGTCTCACATCACGCCCCGGGATGATAGAGCGCTGTGCTGCGCGCAGGCAGAGGTGTCTTGGGTCCAGTAAATTTTCTCCAGTTGCCCGGCTGAAAACCTGCAACACTTGGAGGGTAAAACTGCTGGACCTTTCTCCCTTTTTTTTACCCATCAGAGCCAGATATGCTACTAGTGAGGGCTACATAGGGGGAAGGTTAACCAAACTCAACCTCTCGGCACCGTCGAGGTCCACAAACTGCCTGTAGCCCTGCACCGCGATGCGAGGGGACAGTGGCTTTGCCCAAGATGACATGAACTCGGCCACAAAGTCCGGGTAAGGCGGTGGGGAAGTTTTTAACCTCAGCCGGTTCCGTGGGGAGGTAAAAACCAGTTAAACGGGACCCGTTCTGCACTGGCAGAGGAGCGGGCCAGTCCACTTTGAGTTTCTCCGCTGCTCTTCGGCGTAGCAGAAGAAAAGAGGTGTCTTCCCTAAAGTCGGGAGTTGTGGCTGCAGCAGTAGCATCACCATCCACCGTGGGGAGGGCCTCCAAGTCTTCCAGCAGGTCGTGGCTGTTGACACAAATGTCCAGCACGTCCTCATTTTTCCCACAATCCCTTGCAACTTCAAACTGAGGGTTTTGTGTGTAAAATTTCTAAATGCCATACCATACCACATTTACTTATACGGTGCATTTAAAAACAGAATGGGTGCTGACCAAAGCGCCTCCCAACATAAATACAGAAACAAAATACCAATAAAACAAACAGCAGATCAAAACGGCAACAAAGGAAAGATGAAAATCACAACATGGTGAGTGTTCAGGCGTGAGTGACTTGAAGACACCGATGGATGGTGAGTGGCAGTGTGGGAGCTGCATACATGAAGGCTAATTACAGACTATAGATGACCTCCTGAATGGACTCTGCAGAGAAACATTCACATCCTTTAGGACTGATGTGCTAATGGCTAGTCAGAAAGAAGCTGAGACCAAAGTGTTTCCGTGTCAGAATTTCAATAATTAATTTTTGAGGCTCATTTCTAAGCTCTTACGCCGCCGCCATCGGTTTCACATCGCTTGGCTGTTTTATTTTTCTGAGCCCTGCGCAACTTTTAGCTTCTGGTGAATTTGAAAAGTCCTAGCTGTGCAGAATTTCATCTCAATAACTGTGGTGTGGAACAGATGGTTGTGTAAATGTTATAAAATAGAACAGATTAGAGCCGTTTTAGGAAGATTTGGCTGCCCTCTGACTGGCTGTTAGGTCACCAATCCAAAAAACTGTAAGCTATTTCTCTGAACAGAGGCTGCTCTACAGTCTTTCTACAAAGAGTTAGATGACGGTTATTTCCAATTTGTTGTCAAAAACACTTCAAAGTGGACAAAATATTCCTTTTAATATTTTTTCCCTCTGTGGTTATAAATTTAACCTGTTAACTGAATATTGATGCCAACTTTTTTTGTTTTCTGACTCGAGGAACGACGGAGGAATAAGGTCCTGATGGTGCATTTGAACAAGCCTGAGACGAAATCTGTTTTTTATTGTTTTGTTCTGCAGGATGATGGTGGCTGGACGGCCATGATCTGGGCCACGGAGTACAAACATGTGGACCAAGTGAAGCTGCTTCTTTCCAGAGGAGCTGACATCAGCATCAGGGATAAGGTCAGCACACAAGTCTTAAACTTTGGGTTTAGACCAAGAAATAATTCACCCAGCAAATCTGTTCAGAACATGGACGTAATTTTCACTTGAGAAGTGGGGGGGGCACGGGGGGTGGGGGTGGGGGTGGGGGGGTCTTTACAGTATGCTCTAATGGGAAACAGGTTTCATCACAAACGGCTGTTTTCCACTTGGTCTTAGAGCTCAACCAGTGTCAATTTAATTTAATATAGCGTAATATTGTTTTTGGATGGTAAAAAGTGCAGGGGTCAAAACTTGATTTTGGAAAAAGTGGGGGGGACATGTCCCCCCGTCCCCCCCAAAATTACGTCCATGGTTCAGAACCATGTTTGACCGACAACAGTCGTCCACGGATCGTTATTGGTCGACGTCCACGAAAATCATGATCAGCAAATTCCATTCAACGGCTTTCAGTGCCAATCATCCCGACCGACCGCCTGTTGTTCAAACTTTGCCGAGACCACGTGTGCAACGTAGCATCTCCCTCCTTTGCACTACGAAGATGCTTAGCAGTAAAAACGTAAACAAACGTGTCTGCTGTTGGGAACATCTGCTCCATCGGTGAGCGATGTAAAGTTTGCCTCCTGCAACAGTCATGCAGCACTCAGGGGAACTTCTTCTGGTTGTTAAAAAGCTTCAACACAACAAGTTCTATACAACTTTTAACTCGTTCACTGCCGTTGACGACTTAAGTCTCTAAAGCCGATCTTCATCCGCGTACGTCACATGTCACGTGATCAGGAAGTAGAACATCCATGTGTTAGGAGATTGTTTTGGGCCGCTGCTGTAAAAAAAGTGAGGCGCGAACCGGAAAAGCGTCTGCCGATCACAGTTCAACAACGGATTATGAAAGAACGGATAACGCTCGAAACGCGCGGATTCTTCCTGATGTAAGAGGTGAGTCTCCGCTTTGTTCTGGTTGTTTTGGCGTTGATATCATCCTAGCGCGCAACGTTCTGTGACTCTTAAAAAAAACAGTAAAAACGGTGAGAAACGCTGTCAGCGAATGAGTTAAAGAACAAACTGATAGTGCAGTGAGGTGAGTTTTTACGGCTCAACACAGAAATGAAGACACTCGGACCAACAGCAGTGAAACGCAGCTAACCTCACAGACTCATCTGAACTAGATGATTGGTGCTAGATGCCTTCCTCAGTGGTGGAAGATGCCAGGCTCCGCCCACTGCTCTCTCACTAGGAGCCCTGCTTCTGGTAATGAATGAATCTCACGCAGTAATGAGATTTATTTGACTTTATGCTCTATTAGGCCTGTTGAGAACTTTCTTTTCTCTTAACGACTGTCACTGGTAACAGCTGCATACAATGGTTTTTTCACTTTTTTGTTTGAATAGTTTTTTGTATTTTTTTCCCCAAAAGTCTATAAAACCCTGTTTTAATCTAAATGTTATTAGTCCGTCCATCTTTACAGAGCGTTTTACAAAACCAAAAGAGGCAACCAAAGTGTGTCGCAGTAAGACACAAAAATCAGTTAAACCAAAATAGCAATAAAAATGAACATGAAAAAAACAAACAAACAAAAGCAAACTTCAAACATAAAACAGATAAAAGACCTAAGTAAGGAGTTGGGGGAGAGAAGCCTGACGTAAAGGTGTGTTTTAGGTCTAATGCCATAGAGTGGTGGTACGTCAAGCTCCTCGTGATTTTTTCCTGGAGAGGCGCTTTCTAAAAAATCTTTTAGTTTTTTTTCGACATACTTCAGAGATAATAAAGGACAAATAATTTGTTTTTGGTATTTCAGATCTGTTTATTTTTATTTCAAACATGCACATTCACAGTTCTTGCAACTTATCCCTCCAATAATTTGTTTGAAAAGGAGTAGGCAGATATGTAAGTGCTTATTCAGCCCTACCCCCTCAGTTTTAACTCTCGTTCATGCACTTTCTTTTAGTCTTCTCTTACTCAGACAAAATATAAAACCAACGTCAAACAACAAATAAACATACCATTACATCAAATACACCATAAACAAACTCCACTACATTATATGTACTTTCACATCATGCATGTGTTCATTTCAAATTCACTCATTACGTAGCAAACAAACTAGGGCTGCACAATATTAGGAAAACCTGCGATATTCGATTACAGTGATTAATGTTGCGATGACGATATCACTTGCGATGAATAAAAACTTAACTCAGGAAAAAAAAATCAAAAACAAAGAAATAAAAAATATCAAAACGAGAAAAGCAAAAGATGTGAGGAAAGGGAAAAGGAAAATAATAATAATACATTTTATTTATAATGCGCTTTACATTACAGAAGTAATCTCAAAGTGCTACAGAGTATAGGGGACAGGTATAAGGTACACAGCTAGCTACCCCTTGGAGGTAAACAGACGCTCCAGGGCACGGCCATTTGTTTTCATGCTGCGTAGTTCTGTTGTATCCCACGGGACTGACATGGAGAATGTCACTGACCTTGTTTTTATTGGTGCATGTGATTCAAGAATGTTGTGGAGGTTTAGGTTGTAATTGTGAACAGATTCATTTACTGACGTGTGATGTTTAACTGATTCTGAATGTCCTGATTAAAGCGGATGGGGTCCATGGCTTTTAAATTTCTGAAAGGGATCTGACGTTTTGGCTTACCGTATTTGTCTTTTAGTGGCAGTTCCATGGAGACAACACTATGGTCAGTAGGGCTGGTGGTAAACGATTATTTTTAAAACGATTATTCTGACGATTATTTTATCGATTGGTCGACTATTCTAATGACTATTTAGATGATTAATCTAATGATTATTTTTCTGTTGCACAGTTAATAAAAACCAAAAAATCTGTAATAAATTCCTCCAAAAAATTGATACATTGTAACTGAACGAGAATAAACACTACAGGCCTCCCATTTTGTATAACACTGCTTTTATTGTGTTGGTTGGTTATGTTCTGGTGACGTGTAGAACGTGGGAGTGCAGGCTGCTGCCTGAGAGGTGGTTGCAGACGGAGTGTCTCCATGCTGCTTTGTTTTGGTCACTTATGAGCGTGAGGCGAGTGGTGTTACGACCCTTCCTGGGGAGTTTGGCTCGTGTGCAAAAAGGAAGGGACAATAACGGGATTTAAAAGTTAAAATGATGATCAGGTTTATTTACAACTGCAAAAAATCATAAATCTTTCCATCCACAGGTTGGGAGTAATAAAACTAATTCTGCCTGTGGGGAATTAAAACAAAAGTACAAATAAGTAGGGATGTCCCACTGGGCAAAGATTACAGGGTTCTGGACCAAAATAAGGATCTCCAAAGGTTCAAACTCTAAACTGGGCGGTTAAACCAAACTCAAGGTGATATTTTAAACTAAACCGAAAACCCACAACACTCTAAATGTAATAAAAGGGAGATCTGCACCACAAAAAAGATGAACTCTAAACCAAAACGTAACAGCTTATCCAAATGCAAGAAGCTGTTAGCGAAGATGCTAACAGTAGCTTTACCAACGTTGAGTTCAAGTTACCAAGTTTAAATAAACCAAAAACACCCAGCAGCAAACAGACCAGCACGGAGGAGAGACTGCTACCACCAAAACAGTTCTCCTAATGTCTGAAAGAAGCTCCTTAATGAAGGGAGAAACGCTCCCGGTGATGTCCTACATCTGCGATAGAGACGGAGCAGCACATCTGACCACGGAAGTTGTTGTCCGTTGCCGGGAGACGAAGGCGGGCAAAACAGGAAAGGAACCTAGTAGCGGACGGACGTTGTTCCGGGTCTTCGGTATTTGGCGGAGATGTTAGTGAAGGCGGAGAAGAGGGCGAACTAGAGGAAAAACAGGCAGATTCCTCCTCCATTTACAAACTCCTGGGGATGCAACAAGTGGGCGCGGTGCGTCGACTACCAGATCTGACGTCGACGAATTTTTAGAATCGAGCCGTCAACGTCATCGAGGCTTCGCTACAGCCCTAGTGGTCAGACACAGATAAATCATAAACTTGTAGGTTGGTAATGGCGGGAGTGTCTGTAATGACCATATCTAGGGTATGACCTTTTTTGTGTATAGGAACTTTGGCTTGTTGAGTAAGATGTAAGCAATCTAGTACATCCAGAAACTCAACTGCAGAACAGCTTGTGGGCCAATCTACATGCAGATAAAAATCACCCATAATAATTGTATAATGTGATATTGCACAGAGTGATGTAAGAAAATCTTGCATTTCAGAGATGAATCCAGGTTGTGGTTTTGTTGGACGATAGATTAGAAGCATGGTAATTGCTTCTTTTTGTGGTCTGCATTTAAAGAGCAGACATTCAAATGTTTTTGGCTCTTGCATTGGGAGGGGAGTTGCAATTAAATTGCTTCGATGGATAACGGCTAGCCCCCCACCACGGCCACTGGTCCTAGCCTTTTCCAGATATGTGTTCCCTGGTGGGCAGGCTTCATTTAGTGACAGATATGAATCTGGTTTGTGCCAGGTCTCAATGAAGAAGAAGAAAATATCATTTCTATAGCGCCTCTCAAGATGAAAATCACGAGGCGCTTCACAAAAACAAAAAATTTTAAAATAGAAAAAAGCATTTAGAAAATGTTGAAAAATATATTTAAAATGAGCAAAAATAGACAATTGTGATATAAAATGTTAAGAAAGAGAGCGAGTGAACAGGAAAGAGGGAAACCAGTGGATCCTGAGGAAGGTGGAATAGGTGGGGAGAGCAGAATAAAGAGCGAGAGGTGAAGAAGGTCATACAAAAGCCAGCTTGAACAAGTGAGTCTTCAGCTGCTTTTTAAAGGAGACCACTGAGTCCACTGATCTCAGGCTCAGGGGAGAGAGGTCCAGAGTCTGGGGGCCACAGCAGAGATACGAAACAAATGGGAGTGTGAGAGAGATTGTGTGTGTGTGTGTGTGTGTGTGTGTGAGTGGTGTGTAAGTGAGTAAAAGTTTATTTATAGAGCGCCTTTCACAGATATGAATCACAAAGCGCTGTACAACATGATAAAGATCAGGTAACCAATAAAAACATCAGAAAAACAATAGCAGTGTTAAACGTAGAAAATAAAATCATGACTATAAACAAAGTGAATGTGTGAACCCGAACAAAGCCATCTTTTAGAACATTTAGGGAGGGAACGCCTGGATGAAAAGGTGAGTTTTTAGATGATTTTTAAAGACCTCTACAGTGTTAGAGAGACGGAGATTTGAAGGTAGACTGTTCCAAAGTCTGGGTGCAATAGTCTGAAAGGCCCTGTCCCCTTTGGTTTTCAGTCTGGTTCGAGGAACAGCCAGGAGGTTTTCAGATGGTTCTGTGAGGTGGTGTGTGGGGATAAAAGCTCAGATAGGTAGCTTGGAGCCTGGTTGTTAAGAGCTCTATAGGTCAGGACTAAAACTGTGTGGGTGTGTCTGAATGAGTGAGCATGCCTAGAGCAACACATTTACATTCAGTTGATTGAGTCAATGATCATGGACAAGCACCATCTTACATTGGTGATCTTCTCAGTCCCTACACCCCCAGCAGGTCCCTGAGGTCCAGTGATCAAAGCCTACTGGTTGTGCAGCACCAGGCTAAAGGTCAAAGGTGACAGATCATCTGCTGCTGTGGCCCTCTCTCTTTCTTTACATTTTTTATCACAATTGTCTATTTTTTGCTCATTTTAAATATATTTTTAAACATTTTCTAAATGCTTTTTTATATTTTTACATTTTTTGCTTTTGTGAAGCGCCTCGTGATTTTTATCTTGAGCGGCGCTATAGAAATGATCTTCTTCCGCTTCTTGTTCTTCTTTTTCTTCTTCTTGTTCTTCTGTCAAATAAGTCAAATTCTCAATTTACCAGAATACAGGAAAAGACAGAAAATAGAAACAAGGGACTGGTTTCCTGTTTAAAAAAAATCTTGCTCCCCAACCTTTAAAACTGTTAATAATTATGTTTTTCATAGATTTGCTTCAAGCAGTTAATTACCCTTTAAAGAAATGGGAAAGAGTTTAGCATCGCTAGTGTGAAAATGTGTCTGAATGACATGATTGTTGTTTCTGTGCTTCAGGAGGAAAACATTTGTCTCCACTGGGCGGCGTTTTCTGGCAGCGTGGAGATCTCCGAGCTGCTGCTGAACGCTCACTGCAGCCTGCGAGCCGTCAACGTCCACGGAGACTCCCCTCTGCACATTGCTGCCCGAGAAAACCGCCTGGATTGCGTCAAGTAGGAGCTCTGGCACGCCTTTCCTCTTTAAATCGGCACACAAGGCTGGCGTTACGTGAAAATGTGTCTCCTCAGGCTTTTTTTGTCTCGGGGAGCTGATGTGTTCCTGAAGAACCATGAGGGCGAAACTCCTCCGGACTGCTGCAGCCACAACTCGCGGGCGTGGGCCGTCCTGCAGGCCAACAAGAAGGACCGGGACTCCAAGAGCATCAAGCTCAGCCTCTCTGATGAGAAGCTCCTTCACAGGTGGGATTAGGATTAAACATCACTGAGAGACAAAAACTAAACATTTGCATCCATAACGTCACCCAGGCAGTAAAATACAGAAAATAAACCAGTGCTGATGTCGGGACACGTCTGTACGGAAAGCCCGTTCGCTCTGACCTGAAACACACTCTCCGTTCACAGTGACGTGTCTTTAGGGCAGGAGCAAGTCCCCGTTCCTTGTGTGAACTCCGTGGACAGCGAACCTTACCTGGAAGACTTTAAATACATCTCAGAAAACTGTGTCACCTCCCCCATGAATATAGACCGGAACATAACACACCTACAGGTGAGCTGGGAGTCGCGCTGTCAGGTGTTTGTGTTCCAGAGGGTGACATAACCGCTCTCTCTGGTGTGTGTGTGTGTGTGTGTTTCAACAGTACTGTGTTTGTAAGGAGGACTGTTCAGCGAGCATCTGCATGTGTGGACAGCTCAGTCTGCGCTGCTGGTATGACAAGGTGAGGACAACGGTGTGCACGACGTTAGCTGCCGGGGTCATTTACTTTAATCACACGTGTTTCTATCGTCCAGAGCGGCTGCCTTCTTCCCGAGTTCTGCCGTGAGGAGCCGCCTCTCATCTTTGAGTGCAACCACGCATGTTCCTGCTGGAGAACTTGCAAGAACCGAGTGGTACAGAATGGACTCAGGTACTTAGAACGGAGACCAGCATCATTTAGAGTTTTCCTGCCGTTGTGATGCATGTTTGTGTGTAAAAGTGTAGAAATTGGGTCCAATATTATTTGTTAACACAAAAAGCACGCTGGGGAAGAACACTTAGCTAACGGCTCGTTCAAGCTAGTTTTATATCCATCCCTTTTAGGGATCCATTCTTCTGCTCAGAGTCCGATCCTTCAGCCAAGCATTCAGATAAGAAGAAAAAAGGAGAACTCGTCCACGTCGTGCCTATTAAGTTACACGTGTTCAGGAAGTACATTGATTAAAAGAAATTTTACGTGAAAACATTTAAAAGTATCAGTGTGGCTCATATTTCAAATGGTTAAAGAGCAAGTCACCCCCAAATCAACTTTTTTTCCTGATAAACTATATAAATGCGTGTGTAATCGTGCTGCAGACACGTGTCGTCAATAGTTTTGCACTTTAGTGCATTTTAGTTAAAATTTAAATTTTCTGCCTAAAACTGTCAGTGTTGTGCCGTTGTCAGGTAAAAACTCTGCACTGCATTTGAATTTAAATCTGCCATCGCTATTGGCTAAGAGGTACCCTAGAACGTTAGCTGGTACCATATGATGTCACAATGTTGTTGTGAGCCTGTGTGTGTGTTTGTTAGTGGCTCCGCCCTCTCGGTCTGCTAGGCAACAGCATGTGTTGCATTTTTCAAACAGGAAGTGGGAGCGGAGTAATACTCTGGTAGGGGGTGACTTGTTCTTTAAAGAGCAAATTGCAGGTTAAAATATAAAATGCTGTCCAAAAGTACTATTTAAACCTCTTTTTGTGTTTTGTTTTAAAATCCATCACAGCCCCTTATTACAAGTAAAAAGTGGCCTTTTTCAGCAAAGCTTCTAAAACCTCTGACGTAACCTGAGGGAGTTGTAAGCTGGTCCTGTCTGAAGCTCAGTGTGGCAACTAGGTTGTCTTCGGGTAGAGAGGTTGTGTTGTGGAGTCGGCGTGTGTGTTCACTAGTTTAGCCTCGCGTTCATTTTTCTTAAAAATGGTAAACTATTATGCGGAGGTTGTAAAAACAGCAGGTCCGGACACCGAGTCCACGGGTTTGCAAATAAACAAACGAACATGATGGTGAAGGTTCTCAGTCGTGCGTGAACGGCACAGTTTTCCATTCCTAGTACGTGTTGTGCAGCTGAGAGCACGGCCGTTCGTGGTGCGCACTTATGACCTCCAATCCCAGCGATGTGATGATGGTTCAGCACGCCTCCCATCCTCCAGCACCTCGTGGCGGAGATTATAAAAATACCTGCAGGATCCGAGAGCCCAGAAGAGCGTTGGAGCCAGGTCAGGGAGGTCCACGCTGAGCTCCAGAGGAGGATGGGGGGCTTTTAATAATTCCTAGTGAGCGAGGGAATCTGGTTTGTGGGTCTCACCCAGGTCTGAGCCGCTTGCCCTGAATAGGATGACAGCCCCCCCCCCCCCCCACTAAATTGCTAAGCTACATTATGTGAACGGATATTAACGAGTATGAAACAGCTGACAAACACTAGTTAAATTCCCAAAAATCCAGCTTGTTTCTGCAAACTGATTTGGTGTGAGTAGAGGAGTTGGTCTGAAATCCATAAAACCTCAAAGTGAATCAGAAACCGCCCTGGACAGCTTCAAAAGGACAAACTCTTTGAGTAGTAGTTTAAAATGAAAGTTGTTTTTAGGGATGAGTGAATGTTTTACCTAAATGAAGGTGTTGCGTTCCGTAGGACCAGACTACAACTCTTTAGGACCAGTAAAAAAGGCTGGGGGGTGCGGACTCTGCAGGACATACCACAGGGGACCTTCGTGTGCGAGTAAGTTCCACCCTCTGCAGCTGATCTGTAAATGAGTCCTCCAAAGTTACACTTTGTGCACGATTAAAGAAGTTGGCGAGGCTGCTGAGCGCTTTTCTACTTCCTGGCAGGTACGTGGGTGAAATCATCACTGAATCAGAGGCGGAGCTGAGACAGAACGATGCTTACCTGTTCAGCCTGGACGACAAGGTGCAGTTCTGCTACAGATGGAGGGATGCTTCAAAGCTGTTGGAGTAGCTTCTCCTTTTATTTTTTTTAGTTCAAGCCTTTTACCTCCAGCTTCCCTTTTCAGCCTGAAGACCTGTATTGCATAGATGCCCGTTACTATGGCAACATCAGCCGCTTCCTGAACCACATGTGCGAGCCGAACTTGTTCGCTTGTCGAGTTTTCACGACGCACCAGGACCTTCGATTCCCACACATTGCCTTCTTTGCCAGTGAGAACATCAAGGCCGGTGAAGAGCTCGGGTAAATTTCCTGTTTTATTCCTGAAACCTGAACCTTTCCTGTCAAATCTGTCTCCGATTTATCATTCAGAGACTCACCGTGAGAGAACGTGACATTATTTTGATATTGTTCTACCGCTATTGCCTCAAACCAAGTCGATCTCTCTTTGTGCAAAATCAAAGTTTTTTCTTTCTGATGTTATAGTTTCCATTCCACCTTTCAGATGGGATTCATCAAAAGATGCATTTAAAACTTTAGATTTGTTCTCAAAAAGTTCTTAAATCATGTAAATTTGATTTCAGAGGAGGAACAAAACAAAGAAAATATAAAATTTAATTTAGAAAACTCATCCTAACTGTGCGTCTGCAAAAGGTTTGCTGCTCCGGAGCACACAGGCATGTGTTAACACGCGGAAGGACATCAGATTGTTTAGTAACGATGATTTGTTTAGCGTACGTGTTTGAGCCAGTAGCTCTAGCCATCCTCAGGTTTTACTGACGTGTGTCAGAAAAGATTTAAAACGTGGATTACGGACAAAAACGCGGTACGAACGCAGAAGACCAACATCATTCTACACGGGGAACATCTATGTGGGACGCTCAGGAGGTAGAGCGGGTTGTCCAGTAATCGGATTGTTGCCGGTTTGATCCCGTCTCCGACCAGAGAAGGCTGCTGTTGTGTCCTTGGGCAAGACGCTTAACCCACCTTGGCTGCTGGTGGTGGTCGGAGGGACCGGTGGCGCCTGATTTCTATCATTACTGTACGGGCTTCAAATGATATGGTGCTTTTAAGCCACATGGCCCATTCCTGAACAGAATCCAGGTCCAGTCGACGACGCTGACCCTGCGTTGGGACCTCTACAGAACCCGGAGCAGCAGAGAAGAGCGAGTCTGAACTTCTCCAGAACCACGGAGGAGGAGATGATTCCTGCCGGATCCGTTTTTCCACAGAAACGTTTCTGGATGTTGTCGGATAAACGTTGCAGAGATGTTTTTCATCTAACATTTTCTCTAAGTGTGTCTCACAAGTTCTTCTCCACTCCTCAGGTTTAACTATGGCGACCACTTCTGGGAAGTCAAGAGCAAACTGTTCAGCTGTGAGTGCGGCTCCTCTCGGTGTAAGTACTCCTCGGCGGCCCTGGCGTCGCTGCAGGCCGACAGCACGCCCGAGGACCGGCAGCAGCCCAGCGCTTTGCCCGATACCAGCTCTTCCAACAGCCCCTCCTAAAAAACAAGCACCCCCCGAACCGCGGACGGGGCGTCCTGTTGTACTGTAACTCCGTTCCCATGACGACAAAGGACCACACCGCTCATGAGAACCTGTAAGACTCGGATCCAGATGCACAAACCGATTCTGGAAGACTATTCCATCAAACACAAACAAACAAACAGGAAGTGACATCACGCACAGGTAAACAGTCTGCATCCATACCTGTGCTGCGAAGGGCAACTCTGTGTTTTGTCATTTTTTTAAAAATGATGATTAGTCGACGTTGTGTTTAAGGAACTGTTCAGCAGAACCCGGGTGGGCGTCAACGCCGTGACCACCGACCATTCCAGCTGATCCAACACGTCGCCACGTTTTTGTCATTTCTTTTTCTCGTAGTGTTTGGAAGGACGCGTCTCACGTTCGCCACCACCGCTGAAGTTCAGTTTATGTGAAAGACACGAGTCGGTTTTTGATTCTTAACAAGCACCTTGAGTCTAAGGGTGGAAGATGCTGAGTCATTCCTCACAGATGAGGCTTTTCAATTGGCTTTGATCCTTTTTAACAAACTTTATCTCCGTTATTGCCGCGGCTGCAAATGAATCGATGAAACCCAAGATGAAGAAAAAACTTAAGAAAACGGTGCTGATAGTTTCTTTTCTTCTCGTTGTTTTTATGATCCAAGTGAACATAATTTGTAAAATAAGAGGATGTTTTTATGTTTCTGTTTACTGTTTGTTTTAACTCCAGTTTTCTAATCATGTTTGGATTTTAATTTTCTTTCCTGAACTTTGAGACCGAAGCCAAATCATCATTTTAACTGTTGTGAGGAAAGCAGCGACTCTTGTGCAAAGTTAAAAAACACAAGTAAAAAAAGAAAAGGTGATAAAATTGCACTTCCACTGAGTTCTGTTACATATTTCTGGACTGTGAACCATCCGTCTGACTGGTTGTATCTTTTTCAATAAATTTAATAGTAATAATGTGTAGGGTTTGGTACATTGAGTGCTTTAAGAGCTCTCTCTATATATATTACCTCTACTTATGACCAATAAGCTGCGATACTCTAAACATAGAACATCACCCAGCCTGGTCTTTATTGTGCTTAATCAGAAGATTCTAGGATTCTTTATTTATTAGGGGACGTACACACTTAGTTTAGATTCAGAAAACAGTCAGGTTTATAAAAGTAAGAATTTTTTTACCAACAATTAAAACATGACAGGTTAACTAACATTTACTGTGATGATGGAACTAGATGTGATGTATGATCCTAGGTGTGAATGAGATGTTAGTCAGAACTTCTGGATCCAGGAGAGCTGAGTTCTGGATGGAACAGAATTTGGTTTGTGTTAAGCTATGAGGTTGATTATTATCAAAAACACATCAGATGCTATCTGTCATGTCTACGTACCCACTCGAAGACCCTCGTGATAGATCCGGAATGTCGAAGTTCTCGGACTCCCAGGCACCGAGGTCCGTAGAAGAAACTGCAGCCCCACTAAACCGGTCTTAGTTGTCTCCAGGTCACAACAGACGGATGGAACCGCGCGTCTCTGGAGGACTCTTGAGGAGTCTAAACAACATCAGCTTGTTCTGCAGGAACTGTGTTGCTGTGTCAGCTTCGCAGGGGCAAAAAGGTTTTGACGACGTGTCAAAAGCTTTGATGGTTAAGGAGGGTGTTGCTTCAGATGACCGGTCTGAAGCTTTCTCTAGAACCGAGGAAAAACCAGAGTGATCTGGTTTTAATGTTCTCATGTTATGATTGTGTAGCCAACCAGAGGTTGACAAGTTTGAGGATATTACCAAGAATCTCAGAAACACGCCTTCTTTGATCCGGAGGCTCTGATCTGGGGTAAAGACTATTTATGTGTCATGGGCTTAACTTTACCTCACTGTTCTTGTGTGAGTGCAAATGTTATGACCAGGTCAAGTAAACATGCTGAAACTTATATCATTGAGCACAGGTTAATGAAACATCAAATTATTTTATAATCATAAGTAGCAATAAACAAACATTTATTTACTGATTATCTAGTTTTTAAGTTTTAGAAGTTCATATTTAATTTTTAAATCTTCTTCTGTGAAGCAAGGAGTCTTGGATAAGAGGGTGCTCTGTGAGGGACCTTGAGGAGAGAATGTTATTGTTATGATTAGTTCAGGACCGTGTGGCTTGTTGGCAGATAGAATATAAAATCCACCTCGTGTGATGGAATCAGGTCTGTAGATGACCGACGACCTATAGGTCAGTCCGTAGGTGAAAACTGACCATTTAGGGGCATCAGTAGCTCAACAGGTAGAGCGGGTTGTCCAGTAATCGGAAGGTTTCAGGTTCGATCCCGGCTCCGGACAGAGAACTCTGCTGTTGTGTCCTTGGGCAAGACACTTAACCCACCTTGCCTGCTGGTGGTGGTCGGAGGGTCCGGTGACGCTTGTGCTCGGCAGCCTCGCCTCTCATCACCACCAGTGTGTGAATGGATGAATGATACACTGTAGTGTAAAGCGCTTTGGAGTCCTTACTCTGAGAGGCGCTACACAAGTGCGGGTCATTTATCATTATCATTATCATTTGTGGACATTACAAATGCAGTTGTCACTGTAATGCTGACTGATGGAAGTTTGTGGGCGTTTCATCGTCAAGGAAACCCAGAAAAGCTGCTGTTTGGGTCGTTTGTAAACCACAAACTCAACTGAAAGATTGGTAAAGCCCTAACCCCTTTACTCCCTTATGAAAGAGTAAAGAGCATTTCTGCCCTCCATATAAAATCTTTGGTTTGAATGTTTGATGTAAACTGACACATCCCCTACAAGGTGGTGCTCACCCCCGCCACGTGGACCCAAGGGATAAACCATCTACCCTGCTCAATGGTCAGCTTTCCTCGCGGGGTCACACCCATTAGGACAGTGGGAGGGTTGAAGGTGTACACGTGAAGTCTGACTCTGTTGAGTCCTTGTGCACGGGTCAGCAGCTCTGCAGGACCTCCCTGGAAACCAGGTTTGATCATTTCTGGAGAAAATTTCACTTGGATGGTTTTAAGTGTCATCTTGTCCCAATTCCTCTAACTTAACAGAAAATAGCTTTTAAAAGCGGAGCATTTTAAGAGTTTTTTATGTTACTGAAGCCTGATAGTCCTAAAATGCCCGCTTTTATCACCAGATTTCATCCGTTTTCTCCAGATTTGGAGGCGTGAAAGAATGAGGTCGATGTCTGAAATGCTGAAAAGTGCAGAAAATACGTGAATACTTGATTTTTTTTAAGTCTTGGAGCTTCCTGAACATAAAGGTAGAGGTATTCCTATTCCTGATGTTTCCCACCTTGCTGCTGCTACAGAGGGGAGGAAAACATCAGGAAGGCCTGTTGAGCTTAGAAACCCACCGATGATTGCTCCCTTCCTGATTACCAGCCCAATGAAAACCAGAAAATCCTCCCTGAACATAAAAGATACCGACTCTTGATTAAGCTTAACTGGAAGAACAGGAAGCAGGCCTTCCGCATTCCACGGTGGGAAAAGCTTCCTTTTGTTGTAGCGTTTGGTGCCGTACGGAGCCGCCTCCGGCTTTACTCCACGGTCCAGCTGGAGAGAGGTCATGAAGAGAAGCGTCCCTCACCACTCCCGATGGGCCGAGAGACGATCCGCTCTGGTTTATGGTACGTGATGTTTGTTGGTCACAGATAGTTGCTGCAGTCATTAGCAGGTCAGTAAAACTCATTGTGGTTAAGAGCTTTTGGATTCCTCTGATTTCCTCAGATTACATGAAATAAAACATTTAAGTTCCTGTTTGTTGCTTTTAGCAGTGACAGGAAGTGTAAGCAGCTTTATTTCTGTGGTGTTTATAGAGTTTTCCTGAAATGCAACATAGAAGATATGTTTGCTGCAGAGTCAGCTTAAGGACTTCTTAACTGTCCCACATGAGAGTGAACGTTCAAACAGAAAATGATAAAATCGGCCTTGGAAACATCAGAAAACACCTCGAGTCAGTCGGACATCTAAACTGATGACCAGAAACAAAACTGGGTTAACTTAAAGGTGAAAGTTTAGAAGAAGTCTCCATTTTTTTTATTAAACAAACAAACAAACAAAAAAAAAAAAGAAAAAAAATTATTTTAATTATTTATTACAATGGTCTGGATCTTGAATTATTTTTATATGCTGGTTAAACAATTTCCTCTTTGGTCAAACCACAAAATCAGTAACTAAAAGACGTGGACAGCAAAAGTACCTAGACACTTGGAAATGAACGTTTTTCAGTCTTGAAATGCAAATTTCTGCATGATTTACAGATTCAACCCTTTAGGGCCACACGAAAAAACTAAATATTTTAAAATAATTTGGGGACAATTGCAACAAATTGCAAAGCAATAATATAAAGATAACATATTATTGTAATAACAATGTATGTTACTAATGTTTAACCCTTTCTTGAAAGATATCATTGTTTTTTAGATTTTATTTTCAGCAAACTTAAAAGCTTCAACAAGAATATTCAGGACTAAAATACTGTTTACCGGCAAAGGGTTTAAGGCTAGATAGAAAAGAAATTTTGCTTCGATTACAGTGTTTATAATTAGTACATAGAATTAAATGAGTTCACCTTTAGAGGCATTAATTAAATGAAAGTGACTAAATTAGCATTTCAACTATGGAATGCTAAAATTTTAACTTTGTGTGGCTTCTGCTACAGCTAATGCTAATATGAAACAATGAAAAGAAACCCCATCTTAACGAATATTTACAGTATTAGACAACACAATTGATTATATATATATATATACATATATATATATATATATATATATATATATATATATATATATATATATACACACACACATAAATGTATATATTTATACATATATATACATTCATAAATAAATATATATGCATATACACATATTTATGTGTATATATATATATATATATATATATATATATATATATATATATATATATATATATATGTGTACATATATACATATGTATATATATACATACATATATACACAAATATTTATTTAGGTATATATATATTTATGTATATATATATATATATTTATGTATAGAAATATATATACATATGTATATAAATTTACATATATAAATATATATACATATGTGTGTATATATATATGTATACATATGTATATATATATATATACATATATATTTACACATAAATATTTATTTAGGTATATACATATATATTTATGTATATAAATATATATACATATGTGTATATATATATATGTATATATACATATACATATGTATGTATATATATATATATATATATATATATACACATAAATATTTATTTAGGTATATACATATATATATGTATATAAATATATATATATATATATATATATAAATGTATATACATATACATATGTATATATATACTTATACATATATATGTATACATATATATATGTATATACCTAAATAATAATATATTTATTATTATTATTATTAAGAGCTTGCATTTTAAAATCAAAGTAATTGGCTTTCAGTTGAAGTTGCTATGTTGTGGGGCCACCACAAGGAGGTGCTGCAGTCAGCTAAATCCCCTTTTAGCAAATTTTCTGGAATCGTATTTTTAGCTATTGTTTGCGTAAACGCTAAGGTTTCGTCTTTGTGTTAAAATCGGTGTCATGAACACAAATGCTGCTTGATAACGACTTGTATCCCCCCACCAGCGGTCCGGTCCGCCGCTTTCGGCTCCTGGAGGATGCTGACCCTGGGGGCGGACTACGAGGACACCTGGGCTCCGTCGTTTGACCGGAAGAGCGGCGGTTTAAAACCGGCGAAGGAGGACCCGGAGCTCTCCGAGGAGACGGATGGTTATACCGGAGAGCTGCTGGAGCCGACCTGGCGAGCCGTCCAGGAGGACACGGTGAACTACGACACGGTTCTACTCCTGGACGGAGGGCCCAGGGCGGCGGCGAGAGACGGTGTCCGCCGGGCTGTTTGGAAGCACGAAACGCTGAATAACTCCCCACTGAGCCACAGGTTCGACAAAACACACGTGGGCAAATTTTGGCCATTTATTGTAAGAATACACATCATTACTCTATATACTGGCACGGAGAAAATTAATATAGTTTTTTTGACCACCAGCGTCTGACTTTTGGTTCTGTCTAAAGTCTCTTTCTGATTAAATCCCAGGTTATAAACGCCATCTTTAAGCGTATAAAGTGGTTTACGTGGTTTTAAAATCATATTTAATAGCAAATTTAATTAAGAGTGATTTATTTTTACAATAAACTGCGTTTCAGATGTTCTGTTAAAAAAAACACCGTTTAGTAAAATCATATTGTCTTTATAGTACCTCAATCAAACCACCAGGGGGCTCCTCAGTCTCAAATTAGACGCTTTTTAATTCCAAAGAAGCAACATCTTAGCATACTAAACATGTATTATGAATAATAATAATAATAATAGGGCTGCGCAGTGGTTAGAGATGTTGCCTTGCAGCAAGAAGGTCCTGGGTTCAGCCTGGGGTCTTTCTGCATGGGGTTTGCATGTTCTCCCTGTGCATGCGTGGGTTCTCTCCGGGTACTCCGGCTTCCTCCCACAGTCCAAAAACATGACTGTTAGGTTAATTGGTCTGTCTTTGTCCTTAGGTGTGTGTGTGTGTGTGTGTGTGTGTGTGTGTCTCTGTGTTGCCCTGCAATGGACTGGCTCTCTGTTCAGGGTGTACCCCGCCTGATTGCCCGTCGACCCCTGGAGATAGGCACCAGCACCCCCCCCCCCCCCCCCCCGTGACCCTGCGTGGACAAGCGGGTTCAGAGGATGGATGGATAACATGTATTATTACTGTTGTTGCTGCTGCTAATAGGTAGTTTTTATTTGTTTCCGGGAAAGCACTCGGATTATTCTGGTTATTACTTTTTTTAGTAAATAAATATTATTCTTATAGCACTTATCACAGACATAGAAACACACATAGATAAAAACAAAATAAAACAAAGTCATAAAACCATAATGATCTCAATTAACATCAGAAAAATAAAGTAATAAAATTCTAACATTTCATAAACAGATGAGAGATTACAAATTAGAGTAAAACATGGAAAAGGGAATTCCAGAGTTGGGCTGCAACAGTCGAGACGGAGCGATCACCTCCACTTTTATATCTGGTCTTTAGAACTTCTAGAAGGTTCTGGTGGGTGGACCTGAGGGCTCGGGTTGGAGCGTAAGGCTTTAACAGGTCAGTAATACAGGGTGGAGCTTGACCCTGAAGGTTCTAGTCAGGACTCTAAATGAACTCTAAGTTAACGGGTAACCAGTGCAGAGTCATCAGAAGACTTCAGTTTTATTTTTTAAATACTGCCTTTAATTAGAATATTAGATGCATTTCTTGGCTAAATCAGATATTGTAAAGTTTGACATCAGCATCTTTTGCTGGCTGTTTCCTTAATATGTTTTATTAAATTCAACAGGAGAAAGCGTCATTTCGCTGTAAAGACAACCTGGCTGCACAACTTAGGCTTAGTTTCATCTGTATCAACCAAAACACTTCTACAATGATGCACTTTGGAGTTTGGACATTCAAGACCAGAATGGAGACGTTCACCCCGAATACCCAGCAGCAGCAGCAGGTTCAGAGAAACAGCAGGGGGGTGGAGGGCTGATGATTTGGGCTTGTTCTGCAGCAACATGACACCAGCCTGGGTATTCTGGAGCCAGGTGGGTCTGTCTGGGCTCAAAACAGAACAATGATCCCATAATGAAGGTTCTTCATTGGCCCTTGTGTTAGCTCGTGTACATTTACGGTCTGTAGCTGTTGTTGTTTTGACCTGACGTTTAAATTGAATTGAAACCTCTTCCTCAGTGGAAACCATTAGATGTTATTATCTGTATAAACGCATTTCCCTTTGCTGGACAGTTTAGCCCCCGGGGGGGGGGTTCTGAACTTCATTATGTGTCTCCCAGGCTCTAACAAGCAGCAGCTGCGTGTGTGCGCTCGCGTCAGCGATAGGCCCGCTCCAGTCACATGCGCTCTTCCTCATTCACCAGAGGGACCGTCTTCATGTCCAACGAGCGCCCATGCAGCGAGCGATCACACACACATCACAGGACCTCGCCTCCTGTTGAATCCGGTCCTGCTGCTCCCGGATGGAAAAGACAAACTGGGAATTTTTCTTTTGACGCGGAGCGTTTCAACTGGTGTCTGATGCTGCCACGACGCTGCCCGGATCTGCGGCGGAGACGGGCTGATCAGCATCCGTCACCGTGATTTATTTTCTCCACCTGATGTGGAAGGAGCAGCCCCGATGAAGTAAAACTCATCCGTTCTCTGAAGTTTATTTCTGTTTTGGAGGGTGAGTGAAAGGAGAGGATGACGGAAACGCGGTTTGTCGCCAGGCCACCTCTATTTTTCCTTTTTCCAAACGCGTCTCTCTCCATTCTGACACCAGACAGTGGGTTTGCATGAAGCCTGTTTGTTGTGATGCGTCTCCCCTCCGTTCCCACTGACACCCGCTTGGATTTTCCCTGTTGGATCTGTGCGTTTCCAGAATGGCTCGCTTCGCTGACGATCTTCCCACCCGGTATGGAGGAAGCGCGAGCGGCGCGGGGAGAGGAGGACCGGGCGCCGGGAGAGGGGGCATCCGGGCAGGGCAGAGGATGTACAAGCAGTCGATGGCCCAAAGAGCCCGAACCATGGCCATTTACAACCCGAACCCCGTCAAGCAGAACTGCTTCACTGTGAACCGCTCCCTCTTCATCTTCCGAGAGGACAACCTCATCAGGAAGTATGCAAAGAGAATAACTGAGTGGCCATATCCTTCCCGAGCAGGTGCATGACGCAGGGCTGTTACTTTAGGTTAGTGTGGAGTTTAACAGCTCTGGCTTTAGTCATGTCCGCCGGCTGCACCTGTCGCTCCTTATCTCTGCTGAACATGACGAAAATATGTTTGGTTGCTCACAAAACGCCCTTTGTATTCATTCTTTTGTTCAAATGCCACCTGTCGGCACGGGCAGCGATCAGATATCTTATTGATTACGCAGCTCCGAACCTATTAAAGCTGCGTGCGTAAAAGGGCGACGGCGAAACCGCGCGTGCAGGAGCGCCTTCTTCTGACCATCTGTCCTCCTCACGAACTCCGGTTGCGTTGAAATATCAATAAAATCACGCAACGAAAGGAAACCACGCTTATTTAAAACGAGAGATCAGCACCGCCTGTGTTCCTAGTTGGAGCTCTCCATGGTGCTGAAGGCGCCCACGCTCACCACGCGTTCAGCACTGTAAAATGTAAGAGTCACGCTGTGGTGGTGGTGGTGGTGGTGCTCATTTTCATGTAATTAATAGATATTTGCCAAGAAGGAGGGTGATGTCAGCAAGAAATAAAATCAGCTGTAAAACAATAGAGATAATTATACCGGAAACTTCACTAAACTAATATTTTACTCAATTAATTGTGTTAAAGTATTTTATCTATAGTTAAAACTGGCAACATTAAAATGATATAAACAACAAACACCCCCCAGCCTAGAGGAGAGAGGGAGAGAAAACCCATTCACTCATAAAGTCAACAGAACACCAAAACCCAGGAGGGGCGAAGCATTTGATTCCAGACCTCCACAAATACAGACTCGTCTCACTTCCACTTTCAACTGATGGAGCTTAAAAAGCTGGAGAACATCAGAGCTGAGTGGAATAAAACGACTCATAAGTCCTTTAATGGAAAGTTTTGAAAAATGTGCCAAAAAAAGGACCCAAAGTCAAATTCCCTACATCGATACTGGACAACGCAGTAGGAATGAAGGACCCCTAAAACGCTAGACCCGCGCCCCTGTGTACTTTAGACCTGTTTTTATAGTTATATGGAACGAAGCTGCCACCTCTGATTGGCTAACAGCAACACGACTCTACCACTGACTGTTAGCTCTAAAACATTAAAATGACACAAGCCGGGAGGAGTTCTGCTGTGTGGTGAAGTTGCTAATGCTAACTGTTAGCTTCTACTGGCCGAGACGTTCTCTGCTATTTCTTGGATGCTAAACCAACAACATCCTTCCCATCCAGACCCAAGAGTGCGAGAGTCCACAAATGAGGATTTTCAGCGTGACGTAGGTCTGAGTGGCTTCTTCTGAACCAAGCATTTCCCTGTCTATTCTCTATCGGCAGCTAATGCTAGAATAATTTTCACATTCATTTTTATTCAGACTTTGACATTAAAAAACATTTCAGATTAGAGTCAACCCTGCCTCATCTCCAAGTTTCTTACGATCCACTGAACAGACTTTTGTTCAGGCTCTAGTCGGTCCAGTGTACGACGGTCAACACGGCTAGCATTAGCACACTTCAAAACGCCTCAGATGGCTATAATCTCATCATCTCTACAGTTGTTTTGTTGTCAAGAGACATCCTCGACACATAACTCGATCACTAACTGGTGTTTGTTTTAAAACGAGCATCAACTGTCAGAGGCAACCATGAGCTCCCACAGCACAGTGATGTCTGATCGGTCAGATTTACATGTTTGAAGTGATAAAGAGTTCTTCAAGACTCGTACATTAAGCTCTGATCACTTGAGATCTTCAGGATTTGACCCAAATGACTAAACCGTCCCTTCTCAGCACACGATGTTTAGAACTCAACAGGTTCCTGCTAGCAAAGTCTGGCCTTACATTTGTTCAGTCATGAATTTAGCGGCCTAGGAAAACACGAGACTTTCCACGGCTTTGGTAAGATTCAGATATTTTAGACTCTCCTTACTGATAAATATTTCTATTTATGCATCGCTCCTAAAACATTCAGGTGTAAATAAATGTACATTTGTCAGTCCATAAACCCACAGTTGCCTTGGAACTCGTTTGCAGGCTGTTTTTAGCTGGGGATTCTTCTGTAGATTAAACAGCTAATTTAATCTAATTTTGCAGTTAAATGGCTGAGAAGCCAGATCATTTTTTGACGAGCATGAGCAGACAGCTGGATCTGCTCAGCGGGCGACGAGGACAGCATCGGCTGTAATAAGAGAGAGTGGTCATAAAATGATCGGTGCCCTCTAAGGATTGATTCAAATTACACTTCCGTTAAAACAATATAATAATAACAAAGGACTCTAAAAGAGAAGGAAAATCAGCACTAAACGTAAAAGCTTTTATTTTTCAAAATAGGTCCTTCATTGACAAACCATTTTATTTTAGAAAAGGATCAGTCACTCTGAGTTCATGCATAGCCAGGGTTTTCCTGCGTTTAAATTAGCGTGGCGGCCGCCCCCAGCTATTGACCCTTCGCACCGACGTCACCTAATCACGTGGGTCCTCCATGGTGGACGGCAAAAGCGTGTAAACAGTGAGCGACACGGTTACTAAACAAAGGGAAAAGTAGAGCCTGAAACTGTTAATGCGATCAAAACAAAAACAAAACTGCTCCAGCATTCCAGTTCATACCCAGTTCAGTTATCAGAAGCAGTAGTGCATCTAGCCAGGCTCATAGAGAGAGGTATGCTAACTAGCTTACCAACGTTAGCTCACGTTCTCTCTGCAGCTGCTCACCGATGTAACGGGATCCGCGGGTCCTTAGAAAGTCTTAAATTAGCTTTTCCAAATTTAAGGCCTTAAAAATCCTTACAAATGACAAATAATCCTTAAATACAGTTTCCAGAGGTCTTAAATGACCAAAGACCCAATAAACAAGATTCTTTTATTTCTATTAAATTTTCGTGAATTTCTAGTTACCATTCAGCGTTTTTTTGTGTACAATGTTGCCATAAGTGGAACCGTACACATTCAGTTGGTTGTGAAAGGGGGCTATTTGGGGTGGGGGGTCGTCCTACATTGATCAAAAGGTCCGGTTTTTCATCCGGGAGCAGGGATCGAGTTATGCGGGCTAGATATCTTTCAGGGAAAGATCCAGTTTCTACCTATATTACAATATTTATGGACTCTCAGCGCAGCGGCATTCTGTTGCAGAGCGCTGATCGTTGGTGCGCCCGCTGCGTCCGGCGCACGATACATTCTCAAGGTGGCGCAACAAAACATTATTATTAACACATGATCGTTCATATCTGTTTAATCCTCTGGTACTCTGTCTTTTAATCGTTCCTGACGCGCTCCGCTCATCGTGCGCTGCGGTGATTTCACCTCACTGACGCAGCATCAAACGCGCTCTCCGCTTTGCGGTCAGGAGATCCCTTTGATCTGCTCAGAAGTAACTGATGAGGTGAAAAAGTAAGAATCCAGGCAGCAGTTTTTCTGGAGAGTTTAGAGGAGATGCAGGAAGATGAGAGACCGACAGGACAGGAAATAGTTCAATAAAAACAAGAAAACAAAGCTTGAAAGTCAAATGTAGGTAGAAGTATCTCCACTACACGTTTTATAAAACAATAAGTTGCACACATGTAATATTTATACGTTCAGGTCACCTTCAAAACTCAGTCACACACCCAGGGCCGTTTCAAGACATTTTGGGGGCCAAGGCAAAACAGAACACCCCCCTAACCCCAACCCGTACATAACAGACATGCCACCATTACATTGTTAGCAGCAGAAATTAAATGTTATTACCATTTCCAGTACAAATGCATGTTAATGAAATGCATTATAATTTACTGCATATATTTATGTGTCATTTAGACTAAGATGAGTGTTATTAATACAAACCTAAAATGTTACTGAAGGTCAAATATTTAAAAATATTTTAACTATAAATATCAGATGGAAAAAGGAACTAAACACCAATCTAATGCATATTATTGAGCGTTTCATAATATTTGCCTTTAAAACGGTGAGGCAGTTGAATACACAGAGTGTGCATGTGCTGGCGCACGGTCAGGACGGTACCACCTCTGCCTTAGTTTGAGCCAGGAAACACCCTGATAGCTGAACATGAAAATAGTCTCCTACACTAGCTTCTGATAGAAAACAGACGGTGAAACTCTAGGATTAGAAAAGCCTGACAGATCTACGTCACACTGTCACTAACATTCATGGACTCACCCATCTGGACTCACGACGGGGAAGGCTGTTGTTGGTTTAGCGTCCAGGAAACAGCAGAGGAAGTCTAACCGTTAGCATTAGCATCTCCACCGCACAGCTTTTTTCCCCTGAGTACGACTTACAAGGCGTTCATTCCTACTATAGACCACTGCAGATGTATTAAAGTGACTGTGTGTAATTTTATCTTTAATCTCTGGAAATATCCATCGAACTGTTGTTGAAAATGAATAAAATAATGTCCAGCCAATGAAAAATGTTTGCGGCTTCTTACCATGTAACCATAAAAATCGGGTCTAATGTACATAGAGCGCAGATCTAGCGTCTTTGGGGGACGCCATATTAGACGTCATGTTTCATCCATTTCAGGGTCCTGTGCCTGTTGATGACGTCACAGTAGATGATTGGCTGGACGTACGACTTACTGAAGTTACGTCGCCACGTTCACAATCATTTAGGTAGTAAGAAACATGAATTTAAAAACAAAACTGCTAAACTCTTTCCAAAACATATGTGAAAGATCAGAATCAAAAAAGAAACGTAACATATTTTGGGTGGGTGGTATTGCCGTAGTATGATGATGCAGAAACCCCGAGGCGCCATCCATCGACCTTGCATTCTCTTGTTGGAATTAACCGAAGTCCCATCAAAGTCTGAGGAGTTCCGCCGAGATCTTATGCTTTCTACTCCACAGGAAACATTTACCGTAATGTTTTTTCGAACTAGAGACTGTTACGGCGATGTAGTGTAAAAGTTCCCTAAAATGTCTGTACTGCCCCCTAGTGCCAGTAAACTACACACTGCCACTTTAAAATGTGAGTGATGGACCTCTTTAATGTTTGCGGTGAACGGTTGGTTGTGTCATTGGCTTTCCTCATGTGTTCATCTTTACTTTAATGGTTACGAGCTCCTTGTTCCTGTGATTCATGGGCCCTGAATAGGCTCCGGCCCACGGGGCACTGACCCAGTGAAATGGATTACAGAATGAGCCGGGCAGCCATTGAAAATGGTTGGAAATGCTCAACCATCTGTAAGCATCATGAGCAACGTATACGATTCTTTATCTCTAAAATAAAAAAAGCCTTTCAACCACAACCTGCTGGGAGATTTATGGCTTAGTGGTCCAAGTAGGTTTCATCACATTTATCATTTGTAAATTATGCTGGGTTATTAGAAATATGGGGCTGCATGGCGGTGCAGTTGGTAGCACTGTTGCCACACAGCAAGGAGGTTGCAGGTATGAATCCCTGCTGCAGCTTTTCTGCGTGGAGTTGGCGTGTTCTCTTTCATGCGTACACCTTCTCAGAGTTTTTTGGTTTTCTCCCACAGACCAAGGTTAGGTAAATTGGCAACTCCAAATTGTCCTTAAGTGTGAGTAGATGTCTGTCTCATTAGTGTTTGTGTCCCTGTGATGAACCGGAGACCTGTTCAAGGAGTCCCCCTTCTCTTGCCCGATGACTGCTGGCGTTAGGAAGGAGCTCCCAATGGCCCTACTACCGAAAAGTGGTCAAAAGTAAAGTAGATGATCCTCGAGAAAGCAGTTCTAGCAAGTTACGCTTTGAAAAAACACAATTCAAAGGTCCAACACTCTTTTCAGGCTCAGCCTCTTAAGCCACACCCCCAGAATACAGGACAATGCGTGACGCTACGGAAACTGTTCAGTAACCATAAAAACCTTACGTTATCTTATCATTTAGACCTGTTGATGGCACCTTTTATGTTGTCATTTCTAACGTAACACCTGAGTAACTGTCATGTTGTGTGGCAATAGTCTTCGGACGGGATTCCGGTCCGGAGATCTGGAGACAGAGGGAGTTTAGGTCCTGTATATGGGAACTGAATAGATTGGGTTTTAGAGGAATTACGGTCTTGAAGTGTGGATGACTCGAGAGGAGAGATGGTCCGGTCCGGGGGAAAGGGAGCTTACTTGTGGCAGGGTTCCTGAGGGCTTGAGGTGGAGGGAGCTGAGCAAGGAGGCTTGTGAAGATCCGAGAGGGTCTAGGTGGGTTGTTGGAAGTGGGGAGGCCAGGGACGGGCTGAGAGACGAACAGGGAGTCGAAGAATTCCAGATTGCAGTCGGTCAGAGGTGGAAGTGGGGTGATGTCTGCGGAGATGGTCAAGAGGGTGGTCAGGCATACACAATCTAACAAACTCAAACAAATACTCAAAAGACTAAAATACTCTAAACCTAATTTCTCAGAATTGGCTGGTAGGTGATACCCAAGTTGAGCTAATTATCCAGCGAAGTGAAGGCGTTTCTCAGGTGCTTAGATATCCCTGGCCGACTGATGAGCAGCTTCCCCACTTCCAGACACGCCCACCTGCAGAAAGGAAAAACTCAGATCCAGTCAGTGAGGTGAAAGGGGAACCCCGGACCGTGACGGTAACAGCCGCTGGGCCTCCAGGATGCTGATGGACTCCGCGTAGTCGGTGCAGGCCAGGAGTTCTCCAGACTGAAAGTATGAGACAGAAGCCACTGGGACCTAGATGATAGATCCAGCGGTAGGACTGGGATTATTACTCTGGAAACCTTCTCTGCTACTTCTGCTCGGGCTACACAGCCAGACAACATTTTAGTATGCTAGCTCATTAACAGTCATGTGAGAAACTTAGGACATCCTATGAAATCCTGTGTGTTTTAAAATACATTTGGCATTTGGATATGTAGTATGAATTTAAATTATAAGGAGGGATCCAAATAGTTTAACTAAACAATTAGTTAATTAATAATTAATTAATTAATTAATCCTGGTTTGGAGAAGCTTTGCTGCGGCACCTGGTCAGCTCACCATCACCGTGAGTTGGCGTGTATCAGAGGGTGCTTGAAGAACATGTGAACCCATCTGCAAAGAAATCAAGCTGAAGCGGAAATGGACACTGCAACATGACAATGGCCCAGAGCATACCAGCGAATCCACCACAGACTGGATGAAAACTAAAATGTGGGAGTTCTGGAATGGTCAAGTCAAAGCCCTGATCTTAATCCCTTTGAGATTATTTGGGGTCACTTGAAATGGGTTGTGCATGGCTTGTACAGCTGAAAGAATTCTGCGTCGAGGAGCGGGGCAAACTTTCTTCTGATCAACGTCAGAGACGTAAACGGCTACAGAGGCGTCTCACTGAAGGGGGGGGCAGTTTGATGGATGGATCTGGATCCGGTCATTGTTCAGAACGAGGTGTTCACAATGATTGGATGAGGTTTTTCCTGGGGAAAAAAATTCATTTGTAGCCGTCAGTATGTGAAGAGTGTTTGCAACACATTCTCACACCCAAGGCATCAAAATATGACGCGTGTGACCAAGCCTCAATATATGACGAATAGGGACGCTCCAGCGTGTCAGGAGACGACGATGAGTGACAAACTGCTGACGCAGCATCCCAGAGCGTCGGTATCCGACGCCGGTGGTGAGACGGACATTGGAACTACTTAACCTTCCCCTCACCCCAGTCCTAACCTTAAGGTCACAGATTATGGACCTTAAGGTTAGGATTGGGGTGAGGGCAAGGTTAAATAGTCGAATAATGTCCGTCTGACCCCGCGCATCTTAACAGTGATGCCAGCGTAGCCACGTGACCCAGCGTGTCCCTGATCATCGTCTCTTGACGCGTCCCGAATCGTCACATATTGAGGCTTGCTCACACTCGTCATATTTTGAGGCCTTGGGTGTGAGAATGTGTTGGTATTTATGGCAAAAACACGATCAAGGAGAACTTTTCCTTTCCCACTTTAATGAATAATCAAAGTATGTTCTTCAAACTGAGATTAGTGCTATGAAATGTATGACTACAACTTCCTTTTCTCCTTAACCCTCACACTCCATTTGAATACATGATCCTGGCAACGATTATCGCCAACTGCATCGTTTTGGCCCTGGAGCAACATCTACCTGCCAATGACAAGACGCCCATGTCAGAACGCCTGGTGAGTGCTTTTTGTTTTGGGATGTTTCCTTCCACTCTTGTTGTCCGTGTTTGACTTCCTGCCCCTTTGGCTCTCTACACTTTCGCCTGTCTTACACCAACTTTGGAACTCCCAACATTAACAAAACCAAAGTTGGGAGGTCAGAGGGCAGAAAAACCTTTAGCTTCATGGTTCATGGTTTCTTTTCTGTAGTGCTATAGCTCCTGGAAGTTTCTACACACCTTCAGTGTCACACTTAGAAACAAAGAAAGCATCAGCTAGATCCTTTTCTACTTAACTCCATGTTTAGGTGTAAATTCAGCATTTACGGCTACATAAAGATGCCATCCAGTTAATGAGTGATTAGTGGGGTTACACATAGGAGAAAAACAAGCATCCTCTCTCAGCCTCCTCCACCTCCAGGATGTAATATGACAAGATGGCTTTTATTTAGAACTAGGGATCAGCTAATATTTGAGAAGCTCCATCAACAGACCAGAAGGCGTGCTGTAAGCAGTGGTGGTTTTACCATTAGGCATAGGCGGCCACCTGGGGCCCCCTTGTGTTGGGGGCCCCTTAGCCCTAACTGCCGGCACCCCTCTGCTTTTTTCACTTTTAAGCTGATTTTTAAAGGCTTTAATAGAAATAAATTCTAAATACAAACCATACACTGAAAGCTGAGGTTGTTCTGAAAAAAGGAGAAGAGTTACACACACTTTGCACTTTTCATTACAATTTTACAGCCATAAGATTAAAAACATACCAGGCGGCCCTGTTATAATTATGGTCATAAGAGGGTTATTAAGATGGCGATGCACAAACAGGAAGTGGTTGGTAGTCATTCCACTCCAATCCAGTTGGTGGCAGTAATGCACCAAATTGTTGTTTGCCAAGTGCCATAAGACCACAAATAAGAAGAAGAGAGGCGGGAGCATTCGCAACAAACTTGAAGCGACAGTCAAACCATTAAGCATGACATGAAGTTATCCTAGTGGCTCCAATAAGAGGAAGAAGCAGCTTGCTTTATAAAAGCTTTTATCTTCACTTCTGAAAGTGACGTTGTTTCTCGATGTAAACATCAAAGGAAGCAGAAAGGAAAGACAATGGAAAATGTTTAAATCAGATATGTCAGACTCAAGGCCCGCGGAGCATTTTTATGTGGCCCGCGAAATAAATATCAAAAATATATTAAAACTGGCCCCCTGGCCGATTTTACCGCAAAGACTTAAACTCCCATGATGCTTTGCGGCGTCAGCGCGGAGCCGACGCGCCCCCTCCTTTGAGTTTTTTCCAGCGCCTGCTGCCGGTGTCTGCAGCTCTGCTGTCTCGGACAAACTAAACACTCCTCTCACTCAGCGCCAAGTTCACTCAGCTATTTTCTGACGTTGAAGCCCAGAAACGGAGATTCTAACCGCTCAGTAATGTGTTCACGACTGAAAGAGAAAGTTTTCCAACTAACGTCCAGACAGAGCTGATATAACTCCAGCGAGCAGCGACACGCTCAAACCAGCACAGCTCTGTGGTCGTGTTTCCTCCCCGACACACAACAACGTGGTCAAGCTGCTCAGACATGTTCATCAGCACAAACCAATGTGAGCACCTGTTGTCATCTAATGTTGTCATTATTATGATGAAGATGAACAAAACAACAGGAGTCTCCTCCTCAGCTCAGATCAACCCCATGATGCAGGTATCTGGCTGGAACAGGTGA